CACAGAGGGAGGAAGCCGGGGGGAGACAGAAGAGATGGGGAGGAGAGGGGAGTTCTTGCACTAAAAGCAACTAAAAGCTTCTCCGTTTGGCAAAAGCTTCTTCAAGCTCTTCAGGAAGGATCTCCGTATGTCCGCCCGCGTGGAGAAATAAAGGCTCCACTCCTCATCTCTCGAGAACATTGCTAAGTGAAGGGAGACCAAGGCCAAGTTCATCTGCGGACATTATAATAACTTATTTTTTTAACTGTATGCATTTGTTTTGGAAATACCAGGAATTCTATTCAATTAAGAGAGAATAATTAAAGTAATTGGGATTAGTTTAATGTACATATATATAAGAATGCTTATTATTAACTTTTATACATGTATATCTTATGTAAAGAAATAATCTTCAAGTGCAATAGAAAATGAGAAGATGATTTGATATTTTAAACTTATATGGAAGGATTTTTTCAGGGGTGCCATTTTTGTTTTACTTGCCTTAGGTGCTCATCATGATCTTGCCCACGTGAATCAATCCAGAGGCATGAGCATGGAATCACATCTGTATTTACTGGTGCTCCAAAATGGGACACCATGGCTTTTATTGACATCCTTAATGTGGGAAAAATAAGTTTCAGCTCTCGGTAACATCGTCTGATGATACGCTAATGCACACAAACATGGAAAGTGAGTGCATTTAATACTTATTTCTATCTTTCTCAGTCATACATTATTGAACCGGATGCCACTGATGATTAGGGAGAATTGTGGAGATAATAAAAAAAGAATTAAAGAGCTCTAGTTCTAAATAGTGTTTTATTAATTTCTCTACAACCGTGGAGTATCCGTTCCTGACTTGCAATAGGAATTATAATATACTCTGCGCCATATGGAACCAGGAGTCTCTTTTTCTCCCATACTTAAAATAAACAGACTTAAAGTATTGAGTTTGAGCCACAGGAGAGAGGACAGAGGGTCAGTTCATCCAAATCAAAACCCTGTCTTCTATCTAATCCTCTCTCTAATGCATGGTGCTAAGTAAATGATCTAAGGTGCTAACCATAGTGCTGTAATAACACCACTTTGCTGAAATATTCTGATGTTCATAGTGCATGCTTGCTTAGATCAAATAAACAAAATACATATAATATATTGCCATAGTTGCCATAATGCACTATAATGCTAATATCCCAGCCCAAACAAAGTAGTTCCCTGATGTTGTTCAATGCTGCAGATACAAACATGCTTTTTCTGCTTGAACTTATTCTAGAAATAACTATACAAAATAAAAGATGACTCCTTTTGTATCCAGTATATAAATCACAGGGTTTGAATTATTTTTTGTAGGCATAACATTGTACTCTGTACAAAGCCCCCCCTCAGCTGTATGTAATATTTTTTAGAAACACAACTAGTGGAAATAGTCTTTTCCTTTTCCTTTGTTGTAGCTGGACACAAGTGTGTATAATTGTTCAAAGCTTGCTGTATACAGTGGACCCCCTCTTGCTAATTTAATGTTATTTAATGTGGTTAACGTTCTGTTGGTTAAAGCAATACTACTCTTTCTGACAACTTTATATATCAGTTTGCCCAACTGGTCTTGGAGTTTATAGATTTTTTATGTGTAAAGTTGGGGCTCCAGAGAACAAATTTATTTCAATGTTAATTATCTTTTATTTTTTTATTTTTTTGTTATTTCCTTTATGTTGTTTTTTCCCTCTATGATAATCAACCATGTACTGTATCAGGACTCTGCTATAATATAACTTGTGTTTGAAGAATTGTGCAAATATGTGAAAAGTGTTTCTTCTTTTTGTAAATCTGTTGTAGACATTAAAACGAGCTAAGAATACCTCACATTTTTACATAAAGATTTTCTGTCATTTAATGCCTGTTTGGAAATATCTGCCAAAAACAGTTAGTCATCAACACTCTGAACATTTCTGTTGCCAACATCCTTTATCTGTCTACTGTTTATTCATTGTCCAGTGTCCATTTGTTCAATAAATACTTTCAATTTCAGTGTGGATTTTTACTTGTCAACTGCTAGATTGATTGGAATACCCACAAACATCATAAATTACTTTATCAAAATTAAAATGCAAGAATCTACCTTGATGAATACAATACTAATGTGTTTCAAAAAGTAAAATTAACAACGTCTATAACATAAAGCAAGGCTGCAACTAATGATTATGTAAATGTAGTGGAGTATAGTACATATACACGTTGTACAATATTTTACGCTGAGTTATAGGGAAATATAATTATGATTAAGTTGCGAAATTGGAAATAATAAAATAGTTAATACGATACGATATTACTTTATTTGTCAGATCAAGTCTGAAATTTGACTTGCGTCACAGCAGCTCCAGACATCAACAGACAAATATCCAGACACAAATACATGAAACACAAACAACAAACATTTAACATAACAGCACAATCAGTGAGAGAAAAGCTGCTCAAAGAGCCTTCAGCGTGCATTTGATCTGCATTCAGCTCTGTATTTACTGAGAGGATTGACTGATGCACAAAGGAGTGCTTCAGTCTGACCTTATTGAATCGTGGGACCCTGTATCTCCGATTAGATGGTAGCAGTTCATATTCACTGTTCAGAACATGGTTTGGGTCAGAGATGATGTTGTTGGACAGCCTCGGTTGTTATGCTAGGCTGAGTCATAGAGTCTCTGACAGGGTTGACCAACAATCTTTGAGCAGATTTTTAACAGGTGGATTATGTTTTGATTTTAAAGCTGAAGAATTTCTCTGCTCGCTCCAAAAGACCTAAGACGGCGGAGAAAATACATTCTTTGTTTTGTCCTTTTGCACAGATATTCAATGTGATCCTTCCATGACAGCAGATGGTCAATCATTACACCCAAGTATTTGTATGAAACTCCCTGCTTGATTTCATCTGTATGGATGACAATGGGGACTTTATGGCAGTCAGATGGTGAGCCAAAAATGATTTCCTCAGTTTTCTTGGTGTTGATCTCAAGAGCATTGCTATCAGTCCACTCGACCACCTGATTTACAGCCTGTTGGTGCAGCTCAGGGTCGTCTGTGTTACTGAGCAGAGATATTATTGCAGTATCATCGGAGTACTTAATGATGACTTGATTTGGTGTGTTGGTACGACAATCATCAGTGTAGAGAGTAAAGAGCACAGCTGAACTCACGCAGCCCTGGGGGGCACCTACATTGGTTGTGATGGCAGATGACAGGGTTTTGTTAACCTTCACAAGTTGCTCTCTACTAGTGAGGAAAGCAGCATACCAGTAAATCAGGTATGGATTTACTTCCATTTTGGCCATTTTTGACACCAAGATGTCTGCTTGTATTGTGTTGAATGCTGATGAGAAGTCTAGGAAGAGGGCTCTTGCATAGGTGTTACGTTTATCTAAATGTTTAGTGATGATGTGAACCAAAGTGGCCACAGCGTCTTCCGTACCACACCCTTGTTTATAGGCAAATTGGTATGGATCAAGTTTGTCTTGTGTTGTACTGATAAGAAATCGTTTTACTTCAGTACAATGCTAAATGTAAGTAAATGTACTTGGTTACTGTCTGATGCACCAACTACTCTGCTGGAATTATGTCTTATAAGAAAATTATAAAAATATACAATGTTACTGCTGGAAAAGAGCGTGCAAAGGTTCACAGTATTAACAATACAAATGAAGACTTTCATTAAGATATCTTGCCTTTCACACAAATTGTGTGTTAGCGTGTGTTATGTTCGGTGGTGTAAAGTAACTAAATAGATTTACTCAAGTACTGTACTTTACTTGGTATTTCAAATTGTTGCTGCTTTTTACTTCTACCACACTACAATTCAGAGGTAGATGTTGTACTTTAATACCGTTAGTTACTTTTCAGATCTGGATTAATGATGTGAAATATAATCAACACTTAAATCAGACTTTAGTTACACTTGGAATACATTTATATTTGCATACAATCTACTTTTACTTGAGTAACATTTTGAATGCAGGACTATTACTTGTTACACAGTATTCCAACACTCTGGTACTTCTACTTTTACTCAAGTACAAAGTAACCTCTGGTTATCTTCTATGATAAAATCATGGCAATTTAAGTGAAACTTAAACTCGCTCCTTTGCGGAGATATTCCCGCGAGAGTGCGGAAAACTTAAATGTATTTATTTCAAATGTGAAATGTTACCAATATACTCACGGACCACTAGGGGGCGCTCACGGACCACCAGTGGTCCGCGGACCACATTTTGAGAAGCACTGCTCTACACACACAAGCATGTTCAATGAAATATCAAATATATAAATGCATTAAGCTCATCTACTTGTTTACCAGTTTATGCAATAACAACTGTAATTAAATAACTTAGCACATACATTCTGCCATATGCCATCCTAAGTATTTTGGTACTTTAAGTATTTTTTGATACTAATATTTGTGTACTTTTACTTAAATAACATTTCCACTGCAGGACTTCAGTGACAACATGTTTCGGTAGTGTACATTTGTTTCTTCCACAACTGTATGAGTTGAGTTATTTTGAGATGCATGCCCTTTGTATGACCTTGATCATCTTAATATACCAACAAGATATTATAGATTCGTGAGCTCACTAAATAAAAGCACGTGACTTTTCTTGGAAGTGTGCTGTCAGAGACGGTAATACATGGCTGGATACCAAAGGAGCGTCTGTATTGCGAGCTTCTACGTCCCTCCCCAAAGTTTGTTTTGGCCAATCGCGTTTACCCGGTCTCCACCCTGTTATGTGCTGCCTTTTATTGCTCGTAAATTCTTTATTATGAAGTTTTAAACAATAAACTTGCATTCAATATTTGTTGTAAACAAATAATGAGATGGAGGTAACATAAGTAAGCCGTCTAACCTGTGTTTTTGTACTGTATATCGTGATATTTATATTTTTTAGAGCATCTTCTATAGCGTTTCGTATGTGAATTCAAATATTTCCAACAGAGCCTGAAGGCATCGCCAGTCCCTAACGTCCACAATGGTGACGTCTACCATATCATGATGGCGGTAGCCTGGACTATTTTGAATTCCGTCCCGCTTTTTGAACAATTCAATAGCTGTAGTATGTAAAATGTACTATTATTCTGGGGATAACACACGATAAGTGAAGCTCTATCATGGACTCCGTCGTGGGGGCCGATTTGACGCTCCCCGTTGACATTAACGGAAGGTAAAACACACCAACGATAGCTAGCGAGCTAACATTAGCATGTTTGAGTACGTTATAGCTAACCCAATAATCCACAATTCCACATTAGTTACCGCTGAACAGGGCTCGACTAATATCTGGAACAACACTTATTCACTCAAGTTGTAAACATATAAAACCAATAGTTAGCCACATAGATACAATTATAGCTTCTTGTTTATAGTTGCTGTACCGTTATATCTCGTAAAATATATTACTTCTGGTGTAGTTTGTAGTTAATCTGACTCACACACATGATATTTATCTGTATACAGTTCCACATGATCTAACTCTAACATAATGTTGACATGGCTATTTGAAGTTTGCTAACAATTTAAATTGGACAATCGTCCTGGAAGCAATTATTTTTAGTAACATATTTGACTGACTAACGTTACATACAGTAACGAATTGTCTTTGCACAGAGTACAACGAAATGCAGTTTGTATCCAATCAAACAATGTTGTAGTAATGTTCATAAATGTATAAATATGAATACATATATTTTTGATAAGGCATATACATATACGGTGCAGGTTTTAGGTATAAGTTAAATACAGTTGTAATGAACATCAAACACAAATGTAATAATTATATATATATAAATAAATTTGCCATAAAGTTAAGGGATAATGTTCCTACTAATGGACACATTGCTTTAAAGTTAACAACACAATAGCGTTTATAAAAAATGAGCAAAAGATCTACATAAAAATAAAATAATGTTAGTTTCGTACTGCCAGTCTGGCTCAACCAATATCTGGAGTCCCAAACCATAATGAAACATCAACAGTGCAATAAAAGCTTGGTGCAGAGAGCCTGTCATGTGTACACCAGAAGTAGTTATTTCCGTTATAAGTCATTTGCAGCTCATTGCATGTAGCTGTGATATCACTGTGATTGGTGGTTCGGCTTGTTGACCTGTCAGTCAGATGTGAAAGAAAGCGGAAATTATCTGTCACACTTTCAGAGGGGTTAAGACTGAAGCAGCTCTCTTTGCACTCTCTGCAAAATGTGGATTAACATGTAATACTTGTTTTTTTCCCGCGTGCTCTCCTTGACATGAGAGAAGTGATTGTGGTAGGTGGACTGTGCATTATTTGCTCTGCTCTTTATATGTGCTTTGTTGACTTGTTCAGGAATATAGCTAGTCTACAACTCTTCCTGCTGCACTGCAAATCTAGTTATAGCTTCTATGTTTTTAGAATTGTGTCCTTGGTTTTGTAAATGACCTAGCCCAGCTGTGTCCTGTGTAAAAGCAGTCATCCAGGTGGTAAGCGTGCCTCAGTAATCCAAGATGTTAGCTGATATGTGTGGTGTGAATGACTTATTCGGTAATTCTGAAACCTGATTCACTGTACCCTTTTAGTTTGGAAAGAAATATATGTCTTCGCGTGATGTCAGTCGGCTTAGTTAGTGTTGATTTGCATTAACTACTGTCAATGAAATTATTGTAGGTTTAGCTGCTTCCATTTTTGTCTTTAGCAGTTGAACAAAGTGAGAAGAAAAAAAGAGGAAGTGAGTGTTTACGACTCTTACATTGTTTCCACTGTGTGCTTGAGGGGTAACAAATGCAGCGTTACTAACAATTACACATGTCTTTAAATGTCATCTATTATGTTATGGGAGAGTGACATGTGTGTCAGTTTCTATGGATGTTGTTTCACATGTTTGTTTGGTTCTTTAACTCTTATCGTGGCTCCTGTTGTAGAGAGCTTCCTCACCATTAACACAGGAAGGGGTCGCTTAGCATGTGAAACCTCCCTGATGCAATTTGACTGACTTTCATTTCTTTTACGAGGAGGATTGTTTTGCTGCTGCTTATAATCGTCATGTTTCATCCTTGTATCACATAGAATCTTGGATCTTTTTGACATGAGTTTAATTTGACATTTTGTTGTTTATCAGTATTAAAATGCCTAATTTCAACGGTGATTCAATGTTTTAAAAGTCTAATTTAAATCGGGACTGTATGTCTTTTTTAATTGACTGAATGATGGTGTTTCATGTCGGCTAACATTGCTGGGTGGCCAATCAAATCAGAGATGGGGAAGAGCAGCAGTGTCATTATGGTTTTTGGTGCAGTTTCACAGTGGAAGCTTAATTATAGCTGAGGTATTCATGGTTACAGAAAATGTAGAAATATAATAGAATTGGAAAGAATGTCTATAAAAATTCACAAAAAAGCAATGCATTCGTTAACACTCAAGTTGTGATACAGGGACTGATTTACAAAAATGTAATCCATCCTCCAATATTTTTTTTTAAATCGTATTTTATTGCAATGACTCCATTTTAGAGCACAATCTGCTAAATCCTTTATATAAATAACATGACATTTAGGAATATGTAGACATGAAATATAAAATAAATCATGCTGTCAGCGTTGATCTTTGCTGAGTAATATGGCAGAGGAGCAGCAGAGCGAATGTGCCTCCGCTGCCGGGGGTGGTATGGGAAGGAGTTACGCAATGCTGAACATTATATATTATTAGACACAAGTTTCAAGGTTGAGGGACATGAGCCTGGTCCCAAATAGTATCTCTTTTGTTCATTTAGGTCATTTTACTCTTAAAAACAGATTTTATAAGCAGCATATTTACATTAGTCAGTAAGGCAGTAAGACCCCGGTTCCCTTTGTGTCAGTGTGATCCAGATGTGTGTTGCTGATGTTTGGTGTGATTGTCTGCGTGTGACGCCACTGTCCCATCTCTGTGTGATGCTCAAAGCCACAGTAGGCTGCTTGTCTACCAAAGAAAGCCTCTCCGTCCCCCGGTTCCTCTCATTCTCTCTCCTCCTGTCGCTCTGGCTGTCTGTCTGTACATGAGAGCTGGGCTGCCATTTGCACATGGTCTTACACACACACACACACACACACACACACACGCACGCACGCACACGCACACGCACACACTGCCAGTGTGGATGTAAATGAAGCAGAGTCATTCTTGAGCTATTTATGGATTGTTCTTGAGGCTCAATGGAACTGGCCAGCGTGAGTAATGCATAAACATGGCTCTTTATATGTTGTTCAAAAGCATAATAATCAGAGTAAGTCTGTACAATGTGCGTGGTTAGAACACATAGCTTGCATTGGTTAGGTTGATTAAAAAAAAATAGAAAAGTAAATTGTCTTGTCTTGACATTGTAACAGTGATACCATTTCATAATATTTGTAGTGAGGTTGCATCGCTAACAGAATGATTCTTTCCTTAGCTGCAGACTGCCAGACTCCATAGATGCTGGAGAATTTTCCATGGACAGCATGACCGGTAAAGAAATACTTTTTTTTGGTTCTATTTCTGCTTTTTCCCTTGTTCAGCTGTGTCTCCCCTTGTGTATTAATTAATACGGCTGCTGAATCGTTGCTGTGACCTCCCACTGTTATGTCCCCACCGCTGCAAAAAGGGATTAGCTGTATGATGTTAATTAGCTAATCCTCTTTCTAATTAAACCCTACAGTGTGCCAACCATGTATACAGGGTTAGAACAATACAAACAAGCAGGAAAACAAATGATTTGTACATATAGGTCAGCATCTGTGGCTTTTTGAAACATTGGTCGCGCGGAAAAAATACAACTAGGCAGAACACTGACATTTGCCGCATTATGTTAATTCTTATTTGTGTGGGAAAGGCTGCAATTTATTATTATTGTATTATAAAAACTAATCTGAAGATCACAAGTTATATTTTTCAGTCTATGAATTGGGGAAAAAATGCTTTACTGAGCCAATGCAGACGTCAACAATTGCTTGTGTTGTTCAACTCGCAGTCAAAAAGATACTAGATACACAATTCTATAAATAAAAGAGAACAATGCAACTCTGAGGCCAGGAGAAGAGGCCAAAAACCTTATATTACATATCTCTTGAGCCTCATCAAACTGTATCAGGAGTCAGTGTTGTGAAATGTGTTTTTGACTCGTGTTACATGATCAGCTGTGGGCTGCTTCCAACTGGTTTAAACATGGCAGCTCTCCAGAAATGGTCTCACCTCTGATGCCTCTTCAGTAAAAAACACTTCTGCTTTCTCTTTATCGCTCTAAAACAAATGCATTCCTATAAGCCGGGAGGATTCTCTATGATATGGAGACCATAGTGCTGTTGTGACACAAGTTAAAGTGTATCACTTTTTTGTTTACAGCTCCATCCTTTCCTGACAAGATGTCCCCAATCAAAGCTCTCACCATGAAGGACTATGAGAATGTGAGTGATGCTTATTAAGTGGCATAAAGTTTCTTAAATTGGAGTTGCTATGTAGTTATACAATGTTTAACAAAAGCCTTTTTTATATAACATTACCATGTGATTTGTATTTGTTTATTAATGCGTTTAAATTGCGTATACGTTAAATCTGTGTCAGTATGAGTTAATGTAGTCAAGCTTAACCCCACCACAACAAGCGTGGTATTGTGATTCATTAAACCTGATCCTCTCTGCCTCTCTGACTAAAACCCAGCCACACTTACCATGTATGGTGATGAAGTGTGTGTGTGAGGGAGGAGAGTAGGATGAGTTAAAGTCTATATTTCGGCATTTGAGAGGAATGCATGCTGAGATGTTTTGGCTCGTGCTGCCGGGCTGGCTTCATGATTAGAGGTTTTACAGAGGGGTCCAGACTCCTGCCTCCTCCCTCTGACAGTCTACCCAACCCCCATCACCAGATGTATGCTGTTCCCAGCCTACAGCACAATGATGCACAGTCCACTTCACACACATTCACACTCAAACACACATACAAGAATGAAGGCATCCCTTCATTTGAACATGAACCATGCACATGACCCTTTTCTACCATGTAAACATGTTGTCAGGCTTTTCAAACAAAGACATTTATTTTGACCAAAATGATATGATTTCTCTTTGCACAATAGCTACACTGTAGTTTTTGGCAATGCAAATCAAAGTCCCAGGCTTCCCCAACAATGCAACATACAATATACTTAACTTAAAAAATACATAAAATAGTGCAATAGACATGATGGTGCAAGTAAGAAAGAGCTAAATATCAGAATCAGAAATCCTTTTTTAGTCCCACAGCGGGGACAATAGATACATATTAGATAGAATTAGATGGACAGAATGTATAATTAAATACTATCATCATGTAAATTAAAGCTATAGATTTATTTGGTTGTTATATTAGGATGGGAAAAAGGGCAACATACATTTTTATTTGTTGATCAATCATTTTCCTGTTCATTCAACTTTTTTTTTGTCAATCATCTGCAGCAAATCACAGCTCTGAAGAAAGAGAACTTTAACCTGAAGCTGCGCATTTACTTCATGGAGGAACGCATGCAGCAGAAATGTGACGACTCCACTGAGGACATTTTCAAAACGGTATTTATTTCACTTTGTACCTGTAAAAGTCTCTGTCTTGGATTTGTATTGCAGTGTTTCCCACAGATCTGAAATATACTTGGGGGGGTGGTGGTAGCGGGGGTGGGGGGCGGGGGTTGAGGTGACGTGCCTTTGTGACGTGCAACAACATTAACATGAACCTTTCTGTTGGTCGCTTGTCAGCAGACCCTTCATGCGATGGCAGAGCGAACAGGTACAGGCACGGCCCATAGTGATAGCCCTATAGTTTAAATCTACTACCCACAAATAAACATATGGACATGGACTATTTAAAAAAAAATGGTAAATGTATTTAGGAACCTGTCCATGTGATTTTAAGTGGGGGGTGGACCTCAGATTCTCTAGGGGGGTACGGGGGCATGCTCCCCCGGTAAGATTTTTTTTTAATTTTGGAGTTAAATGCATCAATCTGGTGCATTTTGAGGGGAAAATAAAGAGACTAGATCTATGGGAACACCTATGAAACAGAACTTTATACATTTCAATAATCATAAAATCATGGCCATAACCAATAACATACCATTTCCAATATGAAAAACACTGACACCCTCAAATGGAAATATGTGTTTACATAAATGGTGACCAAACCGTTTGAGACCCACTGAGAACTTAGACTAAGTTAACTATCTAAACACTCAGAGAGTCCTTTACCTCACCTGAGCTGAGGTTATCCTGAGCTTGAATGACACACAGAGACCAACCAACGGCTTTGATTTATGATCTGTATGACAGTGACCATGTCGGCAGGCCACATCATGTAGACAGCCAGTCACTCAAAAAATCCTCAGGCCAGCCGGCCACTTAACAGGCCAGGCCATCGGGAAACCCCCCGGTCCTCCCGATGGCCAGTCCGGGACTGGGTACAGGAGGCGTAGAGCGAGGATTGTCCACAAGTTAATCGAGCGCAGATGGCGTCTTGGTCGCAGACGAATAAATTAAAAAAAAACTAAATGGGTCGTGAAATATACTTGGGCGGCCGTTAATAAACCTGGGCGGCCCGCCCAAGTATATTCTATGTGTGGGAAACCCTGTATTGCCACTCTGTGTCACAATGTTTCATGTGAATCTGTGTTTCTCTCAGGGACTAATTGAGATCACATCTTCACCAAAACAACAACTGGATTTGTTAAACCAAAATCACCATTTCTAATCTTAGAACAGCTGTCTTGCCTTTGTATTGTTTGTTTGAGTGAGATGTAAGCCCGTTGAAATCTGCTTCTTGTTTTATTTATCTTCTTCTATTTCTCATTTTGAGAGGTGAGGTGTCCTATAAGAATGTTTTCTTCAAGTACACACCCTAAGATAAAATGAGAGATTCATTTATATGGAAATGTCAACAATGCACCTGTCAGAAGTAACCTCTTAAATGATTTCCCCATTGTGAACCAGATGTGCAAATTAGAATACCCTCTTTAATGGTCACACATGCAGAGCACACAGCACACACAGTGAAATGTGTTCTCTGCTTTTAACCCATCTTAGTACCAGGAGTCTAGTACTAGGAGCAGTGGGCAGCTAGTGTACAGCGCCCGGGGAGCAATGGGAGTGGGGGGTGTCCGGTGCCTTGCTCAAGGGCACCACGGCAGGGCAGGAGGTGAACTGGGACCTCTCCAAGTAGCAGTCTGGTCGGAGACTTGAACCGGCAACCCTACGGCTCACAGTCCAAGCCCCTACTGACTGAGCCACTGCCGGACGAAATTGTGCTGTAATTGACCAAATGTTGTGTGTTTTATAGAACATTGAGCTTAAGGTGGAGCTGGAGTCTATGAAGAGAGACCTGGCAGAGAAACATGAACTCCTCGTGTCTGCATCGTGAGTATCCTTCAGTTTCAGCTACATATGTTTGAGTAATTCAGTTAAAAAAAAGAAATTGGAAGTTGGCTGGAAGATGTCATTAAAGCCAAGTAATACAATTGTTTATATGAGCGATAACTAATCTTCCCCATCCATGTTTATCAGGAAAGCGTTGGAGAGTCTTGCTGGTCGAGAATCAGGAGAACCCCAGCGTGTGAAAGAGCATGCTCGGAAAGAGATGGATGCACTTAGAGATGCATTCAACAAAAGGATAGCTGACTTAGAGCAGGTTGGTCTTAACTAGTTACTGAGAGCAGCACATTTCTGTTTCAACCCCAAGGTAGTTGAGGGGGCTGTTGTCTCACTTTTTCCTTCATTTCAGTGTCTGAAAACGGCTGAGGAAGAGGTTGACAAGATGGCAGCCATCGCTGAGCAGGAGAAGCTGAAGAATATTAACATGGAAAAGCAGCTCCAAGCCCTGGGTCCCCTCAGCACCTTTCCCCCCGGGACTAGCCAAGCACAAGACCTGCAGCAGGCTCTGCAGGAAAAAGACAGGTCGGAACACAATAGAAAAGCAAACGCATGAATATGTTTTAATTGTTGTAATGTTTTATCTGTCTAAATGTTTTTCCTTCTCATTTCAGTGTCATTGAGCAGCTCAAGATTACTTTAAAGAACCAGGAAGCTGCGGTCCATCAGAAGAAAAGTACAGACCAAGAGACAGATCAACCATCAGCTGACAGTTTCAAACATCTTTCTGATCTCATAGCCGAGAAAGATCAGGAACTTGAGGTATGCCTTTTATATGTTGTTAAAGATATGCCCTTTTGGAGCTTTCATTCTCACAATCATTTGCTGGGTTTGGTATTATCTGAGAGTTACACAATGTTTTAAGTCATTTGTAGCGCTTACCAAATATTAAGAAGCTTCATTTATAACGTTGACATTCACATTTTAAATCAACATTTTAATGATGGACAGCTTTTTTCCCCTTTTGATTAGACACAAATATATGACATACTACTGTAATATTAAATAACCCTAAATCATTTCAAAACAAATGCTAATAATAACCATCAGGACATCATTGTTTTATTTATTGATGTTGACGAAGTTGAAGGGTTATATTCCCTAAAGAAAAATGATTTAACAAGAAAAAAGACTGACTTGTTTCATTCGTGGATATTTGATCTTTTTATTAAGGTGATGATCATAAAACATGATGAAAGACATTTAAGGGATCGTTTCAAAACATAAATAGATTCTTTCATTAAAAAAAAAGAAAAATGACATTCTGTACAGCTGTAGTCATTTCTTGCCATGTTTTAAGAGTATTTACAGGATATTCAGAGAAAATCGATTTATTGCCACTATTTCTAGCCATTCAATGACTTGTACTTAGTTTCAGCCCTACTTGCAATAGGCATTAGAGTGACCTTTGACTGTCTGTTCCCAGGCACTGAGGGACATGCTGCACAGGGACAAGGACAAAACAACTCCGGACTCTCAGGTGGGTGTTGTGGGGATTTCCATTCTATTTCCAGCAATAGTTTGCCTCCAACCAAAAGCTAACTCATGTAACTGTTCACTGATGTGAAAGCCATTCACAGAGCAAAAGCTGGACACAGGCTCTGTTTATTATGTCCAGGCACTGTCAACTTCAGAGGGTTGTCCCATGTTGTTCTGGTGAACCACAGGAAGTGTACTTTGGCCTTTTGTATGTCTTTCTTTCCCTGTGTGCCCCCTGGTGCTGTTTTTAATTTTGTACCCTGCTTCACAAAAGTGGTAGTGAGAATGTTGGGCCTTTTAATAGGCAATCTAATGTTGGTCACAATAGGAAGCTTATATAATAAAACCGATTTGCCTTGGAGTAGTAAGCACTGGTGCTATTTGATCTCTTGCTTCCTTTAAATGAAAGTAAACCTGTTTTGGAGGAAGTACTAGAAGTTATATATATTCTCTATAACAGGGGTCGGCAACCTTTTTGATATGATATGATATGCCATTCAAAAGAAATGTTTTTATCAGCGTGCCGACGGTCGTGAATTATCAACGGGGGGGGGGGGGAGCCTCGCTGCGGGGAAGCAGTGTGTGGACCTGTCAGCGCAACTTACATTAGGGATGCTCCGATCGCCGATCCGATCGAGTGGGCGGGGCCTATGGGGATCTTCCATTTAAAGTGATGTTTAAAACTCAGTTAATGGGGCTCATTCACTGGCGCTTCCACAAACAACAACCAACATAATTATTACATTCAAATGAAGTAGCCTACATTATTCAAGTTTACATTAACTTTGGATAATAACACGGGAGAAATGAGCTGAAGCGCTCTCTTTTCCTCTCTCCCTCTCTCTCTCTCTCCTGACAGCCTGTCACTCTCTCATGCAGCTCACTGATCCAGTAATGAGTGACAGTGAAGAATAAATATATTTATAACTTGTTCCAGAGGTAGATCAAATAGCTAAGTGTGTAAGGTCTAACTCTTAGTGTGTGTGTTGCTCCGCTCACCGGTCCGTCACAGCGGGTGGAGCTGCAGAATTTCTGCTTCACACACGTTGCATACCGCTATTTTATTGTCATTTTCGGACACCTTAAAATACTGCCAGACTGGTGAAGCCATTTTGGCGAGCTTGTTTTGCCGCACACAGAGAAAAGTGTCATGTATTTTACGTCATGCGATCGGCTCTCGCGATCGGCATTTTTAGAGAGCACCGATCGATCGGCAGAGAGTGAGTATCGGCCGATATCGATCGCCACGCAAAAACTGCGGCATTTTTACAGCTCCTTATGGGTACTGCAATTTGTGAAGTGCTTTCCTCTGTGGTGAAACTATCAGCACTGCACCACGGAGGAAAGCGGCAGAAAGTCACCTGGAGTTAAAGAGAGCGGGGCTGCGCTGCGTGCATGGCTTCCTTCTGCAGGTAACAGGGAGACGCGCTCTGGCGGCGGTCTCGTTCAGGATCCGAAAATAAAATGTAAATATTTTGCACACTTATTCCACTTATTCCTAGTGTGCCACTGGTTACGGTGCCAGGGGTTGCCGACCCCTGCTCTATAACAACTATATGGTTTTATTCTTGACATCAAATAGGATCCCTGTTATTTGGGCTCATATGACGTTTTTTAATGATTGATGAATGTCAAATGTTTGAGATATCCTATAGTTTATATCTGATTATGGTGATGTTTTGTACTTACAAACCAGAAGAGAATGAAGGGAATTTGTCGGCTGGTGGCAATCTCCTAATTAATTATCTTCTCTTTTAAATGTGAAAATGGAAATCAGTATCTTTGTTGTCTTAATGTTTTGTGATTTGTTTTTCCAAAAATTCAGAATTGAATTGCAAAAGACAGCTTTCAGGTTTTTTGACACTTAATCTACAAAACAAAACTTGATCCTAAATGTATAAAGGTTTAATGTTATAGTGAAATATATTTAGTCCAGGCTGTCTGTGTCTAAATGTTTTGCCTGATACATTTTGTTTCTCAAATTGTCCTTGTTTTTTTTTAATGTTGAACCCTTTGTTGCTGCTATACATAGCCAGGTCTCTAAAACCAAAAACACTCACTTTAGACTTAGCTTAAGAATTTCCGAACATCTAGAGATAATTAAATGCAATTTCACAGTAATCATCAAAACATTGCAAGCAATTGGTTCAGAGTAGAAGGCTGTTTGACGTAACCATGGTTCCTTGCTGGCGTCTAGACTCAGGTCACGTTGTTAAGACTGGATTACCATGCTGTCTGCAGACCTGTGAGAGTTATTTATGTCCAGTCTTATTTATTAAAAGGAAAATGCTGTAACATGTCAGTGTTTCTCAGACTTGGGAAACAAATGAATATACTGCAAGTATTGCAAAATATTTTTTTGTTAGATTAGGGACAGCATGTCTACCATGGATGCTTTTGTGGCATGGTAAGACTTGAGTGGCCTCACCAGAGTGTAATGGAAAGTGATTGCTAGGAAACACCTCTTCTAATCTTAGAGCAGATTTGTTTTAAATGTAATGCCAAGCAGGCTGTGCTCTATAGATGTGGTTTGCTGCTTCCATTGTCATTATTTCCCTGAAGATGCATGTGTATGAGGTAGATCCTTTTACTTGATCCGCTATCTGTGGGAAGGTTTACTAGAGATGGTCTGGCAGCGGCCATAACCCTGCTGCAGTCCTAGAGGATTTCATCTGATTGAATGTGTTGTTGAGAGTGGAATAGAGGCGGAGCAGGGATTATCAACAGCTTAGAGCTTATACTGCGCTGCACTCCGTCATTCTCCTCTTTGCTTCTCCTGCTGATGCAGTGAGGGAAAATGAATGATAGATGGCTATTGCATGGTTGGCGGTCTGATGATTATTAGGTCATTGGGCTGGCTTTTGGACTTGTTTTAACTGGGTGAATCTGGAATCTAAAGATCTAAAGCGCCATGAAGGACCCGTGTCGCATATGTGCTGTTCGTCTGGTGGGAAGCCAGTGTCGCTGGATCTTCAGCCCGTCAGCACAGAGGAAGCTACAAGTCATCTTGTCCCATGTGCTGGGCTGGGAGTTGACTCGTGACGGCCGTGGGGAGTTTCTCTGTGGGAAATGTGTGTTCCAGCTGGAGAAGCTGGTACAATGTGATGTTAACATCAGCCAGCTGCAGGAAGAGCACAACAATCAGACCCAGAAGCTGCAGGCGGAGAAAGAGCACCTGATCCAGTGCATTATCCACGTCTACAACAAAAACAACCAGGCCTGTAAGAGTGATGTGGAGAGCACTAGCTGCGAGAAGACCTCAAGGGCGGGCAGTCCTGATGATGAGGCTGGGTACCCGCTGGCCTCTGAAGGACAGCCGTTCAGGGAAAGAGGAAGTAGTCACATGGAGAATCGCATGAGAAGGTGTGTGAGTCTGGATGTAATTGTCAGTAAAGGGGCGTTACCAGCAAGATCAAACCTCAAGAGCAACAGAATGGGATCAGCGACGGGGCTCCATGGCTCTATAAAGAACCTCGGTCCACGAGTCACACACCACCAATCACAGAACACCTACCTTGACGTCGTCCAACGCAAAGGAACACTGCCCAGACCTGGAGTCAAAGATCGATCCACATCCCTGCACTCCCTCAACTTTTCCTTAGACCTCCCTTCAGACCCTCCCCCCAAACTGAAACCCAGAGAGTCCAAGGTGTTTGCTGCCAGACGTGGTCTCCCTGATGACCCCAGAGGAAAGGTTCAAGCCAGAGCGCTACACCGCAGTTCCTCAAGTCAGCCTTCTGTGATCATTGACCTAATTCAGATTCTGCGCTGCATCTCCAAGCAACATTTCTCTGCCCCTGCAGGGAGCCACATCCCCGTCCTGAAGAGGTTAAATACAGGCCCTCTCAGAACCCGAGCCAAGGGCAGACACAGAGAGGCAGACTGGAAGTCTCTGGATGACCTTACAGAGGAATTTGATGATAAATACACTCCTGTCAGAGTCATGGAGGTAGTTGTTTCATGGTTCCCAGGGGTCCTTAAAATCCTCGAAAGTGTGTGACTTTAAAGGGGAAAAATCCAAGGTCTTTTGTTAATAGACATGGGTCATTAAAAGTGCTTGAATTAATATATAATATTTATATTGTGCAATAATCTTTACTTAACGTTAGTAAATAGGTTAGGGTTTTCCTGCCTGTTCGTTTCACCCACCACCTGAATCTAAAAACTGAGACACAAATGAAACTTGATCCATGTCTCTGGATTTTGCAGAGTGAGGTTCGGCGAGTGGAGTCCTACAATAAGCTGCTGACTGAAAAGTTTACCCAGGCACAAAGCACCAATGATGACCTGAGTAAAACACTGGAGGAAACCCAGAATCAGAACAAGGTACATTGAGATTTTGCTCCATTTAATATGTTTTTATTATATGGGAGTTTCTTTGGGTAAAAACACTTTTCTTGTGCAAACAGGTCCTGTTAGGGAAGCTGGAGGGGAAGGAGAATGAGCTCAACTCTGAGAAGAAAAATGCTCTAAAGCGAGACAAAACCATCCAGGGATTTACTCAGGTTCTGAAAGAAAAGGAAAAAGAGGTAATGTTCATACTCTTATTACAAGTGGTATTGCTCTCATTGATCTGTATTATGCATGATTTAACTTGTCTGTCTTTTTCTGTTCTGCACAGATTGCAGAGCTGTGTCATGAGATTGAGGACAGGGACGATGCTCTGGCCAAGGCTAGAGAAGCAGCACATAAAGCCCAACTGCAGAAATACCAGGCAAGTCCTGCACTTTTATAGAGAGCCAACTTGAATGTTTATGATAATAAAATGGCTCTGTGTGTGTCTTTTATGTTCACAAATGATATTACTAAGACGTACATTTTTGTGTATTTCCCTCAGGGAGTAGAAGAGCACCAAAATCTGTTAATGACGAAGCAAACGGAGCTCGTCCAACTCCAGGGGGAACACCACGCCAAGGTGCTTGAGGCCCAAAAGCTGCAGCGGGGCCTGGACAGGAAGGAGCAAGAGCTGGCTGACCTGCAGCAGGCAAAGGACCAGCTAGAGTTGGAACTGGAGAACCTGCAACAGCAGAAGAAGAAGGGGGACAAGGCCCTGAATGTAAGACAAAAAAACGGTATTATTGACTCCAGCCATCATTCAAATGACAGATTTGGTGTGATGGTATTATCATTTCCCCCCTCCAGGATCTGAACAATCAGCTGAAAAAGCTGAGCAGTGAGATTGGAGACAGAGAGAGTGCTCTGGAGCAGCAGTACCAGGAGCTGCTGGATCAAACCCAAAGAAAAGTGCAATCCCATGAGGTCACCATCCAGCGGCTCACATCCTCTCTGGCTGATAAAGAGCAGCAGCTACAGGTAACACAACTACATGAAACATATTCAGACAGATTCTAGACCAAAAGATTCAATATGATTGTGTGTGTTAATCAAAAAAATTCGAATGGTTGGCCTTTTTTACCGTTTTTTTCCCCGGTGTTTTTCAGGAGTACATAAACATGGTCAGAGATGTTGAACAAAGTAAAAGTCCAGGAGGAAACGACAATGTGCTTTCCAAGCTGCGGCAAAGGCTGAAAGAAAAGGAGAAGGCTCTGGAGGTGAGCATTCCTTCTCTTTAATCCTCTCACCACAGCGACTATAATTTGATTCTGACATTGTGCTGTTGTCTCCCTCACAGCAAGCGCTGGATGAGAAGTTTGCTGCCATAGAGGAGAAAGACAATGAGATACACCAGCTGCAGCTGTCTCTCAGGGAGAAGGAGAGAGACCTGGAAAGACTGAACAACTTGCTCTCTCACAACGAGGAGACCATCGATGTAAGAAGCCATGACCCATAAATTAGCCTTTTTCCAGTAATCATTAATACAATTGTTTTTTTCCAATGCATCTTTCTGCTCATTTCTCTACTTACAGAGTTTTGACAGTCTGATCAAGGAGAAGGATGTGGAGCTGCAACACCTTGCAAACACACTGAAGAACCTGCAGAGAGCAAAACAAGATGTAGAAGACAACTTGAACAGATCACTGAGAGAGAAGGACTCCATCATCATTCAGCTGCAGCTTTCTTTGGAGGGCAAGACAAAGGATATGGATGTTAGTTGGCCCTCCCTCTGCTGTGTTTGCAACCATGCCTTTGGTGTTTTTTTCACTGTTCTGAATTAGGACTGACATGTACCTGAGATGCTTCTTCTTTAAAACTTTTGTTTTCAGGACATGGCCGAGTCCATGCTGAGCCAGTCGCAGACTAATGCTCGTGACCTTGCTGAACAGATGGGCCAGAGGTTAAAGGTCACAGAAGCAATGTTGGCTGAGGCTGTGGAGGCCAGGGCAAGGCTGGTCGCTGACAATGAGAGTGCTGTGGAGGGACTGTTGGCTACAATCAGGAGCAAGGACCAGCTGCTCAAGGTCCTCATTTCATTAAGAAATCTATTTGAATGCTTTCACCGGAAATACATCTTTGTAGCAACCAATCATGATAGAATATAGCAAAGGAAATGTAATTGCAATGATAATAACATAAGTGGTTATTAGTAATAGATTTAGCAAATTAGAGAATTAAGTAAGTGTCAACATATGGAATTAAATCTATTAAAAAAATAATGAACATATTGAAATATTGATTTTACACAATAAACTAGGGCTGCAATGAGTATAATTACTCTCAGAAACATCCCTACCATTTCAAGATAATTGGTCTCACAGTCAAAGGCAAATGTCTTTAAATGTCTTTTTTCTATTAGTCCAAACCCAAAACATTCACACACACATTTACACATGAGAGGCTTAAAATAGCATTTTCTGACATTTCTTAAAAAACTATTCGTTGCAGATGTTCTAATCTACAACTTTAAAATATGCCATTTGTATGTACAGAATGTGGGTAAACATCACTTCCTCTCATTTCTTGGATCTGTTTTTCTCCCTTGTCCAGGAGTCTGCAGAGCACTACAACCGCATGCTGTCTGAGCGCACTCAGGAGATCCAGGAGCTGAGGAGGCAGCTCACTGACATGCAGCAGAAGCTTGCCACTGCTGAGAAGCAAAGCTCCACAGCAGCCCAGGAGAGTCATTTAGACACTGCAGGGCTCAGAGCCATGCTCGCTGAGAAAGACAGCCTCATCAACGTAAGTTCCTCTGGGATACAACACAGTAACTCAGCTGTAAAATGTGCTTGACTTAGAAGCCTAACAAGAAGAAGAAAATAAAACATCCCCAGAGAGTAACACAAATAATACTCCTCTCCTACATTCTGACTTCAAATGATTTAGTGGCATATTTTGACAAAGTCTAAAGGTATCAATGTGTCTCAAGGTAGCTAACTTGATATCTTGTAAATATGCAGAAGCTTCTACAGCGTGGTCAGGAGATGGATCAGTTTGTGGTAGATTTGAGACAGAAGGAGGAGTCGGAACATGTGTTGGAGCTCAGACATACGATCCAAATCATGCAGGAGAAGATGGTTGACAGGGAAGGTGAGGCCTTAGATATTAAAACCTCATCATCTCATGAATATTTATAAGTTAGAGTACATCTCGGTCCTATATTTGTTTCTATTTTGTTTTCCCTGAAGCTGAGCTGTCCAGGAGGAACAGTGGGGATAATATGGAGAATGTTCTGCATTCCAAGAAGACAGTCGTCGTCCTGAAGAAGGAGCTTGCACAGAAAACTGAGGCACTGAATAAAGCACTGAAGCGGGAAAATGAACTGAAGGTCAGTCACTTATAAACATTTAGCTTCGACCATATTCTGCACACTTGCTAATGGGTGTCTTATTGTGCTGACTTCAAATGTATTCTCCCAATATTCAGATGTCTTTGGCAGATCTACAGTCATCACTGTCTGAGCTGGAGGGTCGTTACGAAGGTCAGGCTGCTAATGTGGAGTCCCTGACTGCAACTCTGAAGACCAAGGATGAGATTATTGATGTAAGGGTTCCTCCATTCACACAGCATTGAACTCAGCAGCCTCTTGTCTTGCAGTTCTCATGTTTTGTTTGATTATGTCTGTGATCAGGCTCTCCACCAGCGCCTCGGGCAAAGAGGGGAAAATCGGTCTGACCAGACCCAGGATCAGATGGTTGGCTCGGGCATGGAGAGATCACTGCCCGGGCTCCCTCAGAGAGAGAGGACCATGATTGGAGGAGATAGCCAGCAAGAAGTAAACTAACAACCTTTTTTTTATAAAACACCAGAAAACAACACATTTTACGCATCATTCTCTGACATTAAGACTTGTACTTTTTAATTTTCTGTCACCCTAAAGGCATTGCCTAGCCTTACAGCCTTGCAACAGCAGCATGACTCTCTGAACAAAGCGCTGAGAGCCGAGCAGCAGCTCTACTCCAGCCTCGTCAAGACTGTAAAGGAGCAGGACAGGTAGAGATAATGGTGAATGTAAAAAAAAAGAAATTCTGAGTAGCTTCATTTATTTGATGACTTAACCCCTCTGTGTGTTTGTGCAGCGCTCAGCGTCTCCATGCTCTGCAGTTGGAGCTGACAGCAGTGCAGCTCCTCAGGCAGCAGCTGGAGGAAGGCATCACAACTAATGAGGAGCTCAGGGACGATCTGGAGAGGGAGATACACAGAGCCAAACTCAGAGAAGGTGCAGTAAATGACGAGGGGAACTGAATGAAAGTAAATAAAGAAAAATGAAATGAAAAGATTGTTAGAAGAGTTGGGAAGCACAAAGCTCAGGTAGAGTCCTACTATAGGTAGGGTTGGGTACCGAGAACCGGTTCCTATACAGAACTTTGATTCCATCAGTATCGTTTAGAAAGGTTCATTTCAGTTCTGCTTATAGATTCCTAAGGAAATGTATCTCGCCGCTTTCTCTAGTGTTAAACGGGGGCCGGGCGGGAAATGTAGCGAGCACAGTACCAGGGTTGGGAAGCAGCAACACTTGGTTCCGAGTAAGAACAAATAACAATTGTCTGGTACCAGGTCTCTCTCTCACTGTCTCCGATCTACTCCGAGAAGAGAAAGAAGAGAAGAGAGACGATATAGAGCTAGAGCTAGACTCCGATCTCTCTAGCGAGAGAGCTCTCTCTCTCTACGCTCGTCTTCGTCTCTCTATGTCCATATCTCTCTCTCTCCTACTCTCTCTCTCTCTCTCTCTCTCTCCGCTCCTCTCTCCTCTCTCTCTCTCTCTCTCTCTCTCTCTCTCTCCTCCTCTCTCCTCTCTCTCTCTCTCTCTCTCTCTCTCTCTCTCTCAACCAAATGATACTGTATGAAGTGATTTATAAATATGAATATAGATTTGACTAAATGTTTTCAGAAATATATTTTTCTCTCAGTGAAATTTGCATGGGACTTATTTTTACTCTTAAAGAACCGAAATGAAGAACCAAAGCAGAACCGGAATTGTTCAAATCCAAACGATACCCGACCCTAACTAAAGGTCTTAAGGAAACCAACACATACACAAACACCTGTCTTCTTTATCCCCTGTGTTTACTCTAATAATATCCCCTGCTGACAAGCTCACACCCCCTCTTCTTCATCCGTCATTTTGTTCAGCATGCACACCTGGTCCTTCCTCTTCATGTTTACTGTTCTTTACTTCATCACCTCCTCATCTGCATGTGTTTTCAACAAAAGAGTTACTACCTGTCTTCTCTGTCACTCTTTCAATGTAATGCATCCTCACTGTCTTTCAGTTTGTCTGTCCTTTATTTAACAAAAGAAAATGAATAAAGGCTGCTGTTGGCCGATCTTCCTGTCTTTCACTTCTATCATTCTGTCTGCTTTTCTTCACTGTCCGATTAAAACCTTGTTTGTCTGTTGATTGCATTACTTCTCTAACACCGCTCTGTTTATTAATCCAACGCATCCAACCATCTGTCACATGAATTCATCACATAAGCATGTCATTACATAACAACTTTAAGTATTAAAGGTCATATCGCTATAGAATCGAGTATACTAGTGAAGAGCAGCTCCCCTGAAATATAAACTGATAAAACAATCCAATATGTATTAAGACACCCCGTTGTTTATTACGGTTAGTGACAACAGGACAGCATATTAAGGTCGCATTCACACCAGCCTTGTATAGTCCGGTTGAATCGAACCCTGGTGCGTTTAGCCGCTTGGTGCGGTTCATTTGGGTCGGTGTGAACACAGTCCGAGACCTCTGAAGTGAACTAAACAACCGGACTCTGGTCCGCTAAAATAGGTGGTCTCGGACCGCTTGCTAGTGAACTCTGGAGCGGTTCATCGCTGGTGTGACGCAGTCCGCACCAAAACATAGGAAGCGTAGTATTTACGAGTCACAAGAACGCGGGTGTCTTCAAAATCGTTAGCGAAAGAGTGAAGCAGAATAAAGTGTTGAACAGTGTCGTGTAAAATAAAAACAACTATCAAACTAAAAACTATACATAAAAGTCAGAGCCACCTGCCGTCGGTGAAACCCCCTCCTGACTGCAGAACGTCTCTCATTAGGGCCTGAGCACGAAGTGTGCGAAGACCTATTGTTATTGGTAGAATTATTATTATTATTTTCCTTGCTCTGTGCTTTGGACCTGTTTTTGAGGGGGTTCCCACACTGTTGACGTAGCGACATTTGGCAACGCCGCCAGGACGGGTGAAAATTGTTACATTCTGGATTCCATGGTTGCAAAATTTCCGACATGCTCTCTAGCGCCACCTGTCAAAATTCAGTTTTTGAAAAATGTACATAGTCGCAGCGTAAATCGGATGGACCTGACATTTTGCAGACTTATCCGGGTGGAGCAGCCCTACATATTATCCTCTCATATCCCTAAGCTCCGCCTACTTTGATTTTTTTTTAATTAGCATAATGTGAAAAACAGTGAAATATTAACTACAATTTCAATTTTTTGCTTTTCAACACCAAACTTAGTGTACAGCATCAGTGGAGGGTCACACACACTACCGTAGAACATGAGCACGACGTGTGGAAAAATGTGCCCGACATCAATCGCAACGTATTAGCAAAAAGGTGTGGCTTAGACATAAATGCTCCTAATTCATCCGCAATGTATCCAAATATCACAGATTTCGGTGGAAAGGTTCAGTCTGTCTTGGGGAATAGGCACAAAAAAGCATGTTCATTTCGGACAATAGGGGGCGCCAAAAGCACAACAAATTTATACCTGAAGATCCGATAGACGAAATAAATATATTTTGTCATACACATACTGGCAGGATGAGTATCAACTGAGATTTAAAGGGGCGCAACCAATGACGGAAGTGGGCGTGACCTATTCAGCTTTATGTCGAAATCGAAGGGTTAAAAACACTTACCGACCCATAAGTAGCGGGAAAATACAGTTACGGCCTTTAAACTCGGAACTCACGTCACAGCCCATGTGACGATTTAAATAGCACAAATTCGCTAAAATGACCTTCGGACGTGAAACTTGGGACAGACGTCACAGCCCAGGACCTTTTCCAGAATGTACAATAAAATCGTGCGTTTTGTGAAATCAGCTCAGTAGCGCCCCCTATTGTGCGGTAGTCACATATAGTTTCTCCCAGCAACCCGAGTCTTGGCGCAGACATGCCTCATGGAATTGCCGACATATTTCAAAATGGCTTCCATTAGCCCCTCCCCCCATAAAGTCGGCCATTTTGGAAAATGTGCGTTTTAAGCGCGTTTTTGCGAACTCCTCCTAGGGAAATGATCGGAAAAATTCAATTCCAGCACAAGTTCAGCCCATATCCAATGTGATGCTAAATTGCGTATGAATAGTCGACCGCTCAAACGGGGTGCTCGTAAGCTAACAGAGAATGTGCCATTTTCGACGATTTCAATGGCACAAATTCCCTAAAATGAGCTTCGGACGTGAAACTTGGGACACACGTCACCGCCCACGACCTTTTCCAGACTGTACAATAAAATCGTGCGTTTTGTGAAATCAGCTCAGTAGCGCCCCCTATTGTGCGGTATTCACATATAGTTTCTCCCAACTACCCGAATGTTGGCACAGACGTTCCTCATGGAATTGCGGACATATTTCAAAATGGCTTCCATTAGCCCCTCCCCCCAAAAACTCGGCCATTTTGGAAAATGTGCGTTTTAAGCGCGTTTTTGCGAACTCCTCCTAGGGAAATGATCGGAAAAATTCAATTCCAGCACAAGTTCAGCCCATATCCAATGTGATGCTAAATTGCGTATGAATAGTCGACCGCTCAAACAGGGTGCTCGTAAGCTAACGGAGAATGTGCCATGTTCGACGATTTCAATGGCACAAATTCCCTAAAATGAGCTTCGGACGTGAAACTTGGGACACACGTCACCACCCACGACCTTTTCCAGACTCTACAATAAAATCGTGCGTTTTGTGAAATCAGCTCAGTAGCGCCCCCTATTGTGCGGTATTCACATATAGTTTCTCCCAACTACCCGAATGTTGGCACAGACGTTCCTCATGGAATTGCGGATATATTTCAAAATGGCTTCCATTAGCCCCTCCCCCCAAAAACTCGGCCATTTTGGAAAATGTGCGTTTTAAGCGCGTTTTTGGGAACTCCTCCTAGGGAAATGATCGGAAAAATTCAATTCCAGCACAAGTTCAGCCCATATCCAATGTGATGCTAAATTGCGTATGAATAGTCGACCGCTCAAACGGGGTGCTCGTAAGCTAACGGAGAATGTGCCATGTTCGACGATTTCAATGGCACAAATTCGCTAAAATGAGCTTCGGACGTGAAACTTGGGACACCCGTCACCGCCCACCACCTTTTCCAGAATGTACAATAAAATCGTACGTTTGGTGAAATCAGCTCAGTAGCGCCCCCTATTGTGCGGTATTCACATATAGTTTCTCCCAACTACGCGAATGTTGGCACAGACGTTCCTCATGGAATTGCGGACATATTTCCAAATGGCTTCCATTAGCCCCGCCCCCCAGAAAGTCGCCCATTTTGAGAAGTGGCCGTTATTCATGCATTTTAACCACATTTTTGCTCACACCTCCTAGGGAAATGATCGGGAAAATTCCACTCCAGGACACGTTCAGCCCATATCCAACATCATGCTAAATGGCGAATAAAATAGTTGCTAGCTCAATCGGGGCGGACGTTAGCTAACAGAGAATGTACCATTTTGGATGAGGATTAGGGTTAGGGTTAGGGTTAGGGTTAGGGTTAGGCGTTACTCCAAACTACTCGCATATAGTTTTCCCAATATTCACCACACGCTGTATACACATTGCTCTTATGATTGCACACATATTTCAAATTGCTTTTCATTAGCCCCGCCCCCCAGAAAAATGGCCATTTGGAAAGATGGCCGTTTTTCATGCATTTTCTGCACATTTATGCACACTGCTCTTGGGAAAATTATCGTAAAAATTCCACTCCAGGACCAGTTGAGCCCATATCCAAAGCCATGCTAAATTGGGAATAAAAAAGTTGCTAACTCAATCGGGGCGGTCGTAAACGAACAGAGAATGTACCATTTTTGACGAGGGTTAGGGTTAGGGTTAGGGTTAGGGTTAGGGGTTAGTCACTCATCGCATATAGTTTTCCCCATATTCATGACACGCTGTATACACATTGCTATTATCATGGCACACATTTTTCAAAAGCCGTTTCATTAGCCCCGCCCCCCAGAAAAATGGCAATTTGGAAAGATGGCCGTTTGTCATGCATTTTGCGCACATTTTTGCACACTGCTCTTAGGGAAATGATCTGACAAATTCCAGTCAAGGACAAATTATGCCCATATCCAACATCATGCTGATTTGGGAATGAAGTAGTTGCTAGCTCAATCGGAGCGGTCGTAAGCTAACAGAGAAGATACCATTTTTGACCATTTACACTATTTGGTTTCATGCAAAATATCAACTGTTTATTTGGAGATGTCTACTAAAGCATACAAATACAGTGTGTAATGTCGGCCTGTTACTTATATTACTGAGTGATATATATTATACACACTCTTCTGCTTTCCGCACTGGCCTCGGCAGCTGTTGTCGCTGTAAATGTCGGCTCACAATTAAAGCAGTTGTATTAAAAATATACATGGCCTAATATCCAGAGGAGATGCGTTTCTTGAGTAAACAAACGGTAAAGGCCAGAAAGTCTGCACAACCCACTGCACCACGCGTCACGGTTACTGCTCCTCCAGACAGCCTCGGCGATAATCGATCCTCGACGAGCCTTTACAGAAATTCCGTTTCCTTCCAGGCGGCGCGCCCACATCCGTTTCCGGGTCGCTGCCGGAGGACCTGGGACTCCGGGCCGCAAACGTTTGACAAACGGCTCATTTCGGCGGACTCGCGCGCTGCCGCCGGACGCCGGGACGACCGGCGACACTCCCCTGCGGGCGCTCGGAGGCGAAGGCCCGCCCACAACTGCGTGCACGTCTGTGACCGCAGTTTTAATTATATGTGTTATAATGTTTTGTATCGCACGTTGTCTGATTATATAATCATATGCGCCGTTGCTGTTGATATGCTCTCCAGATTAACAACAGCATGATAATAACCTGCCGATGCTCCAAGGCGGAGGCTCCGGTAGAAATTGCCTGGATTTGCGTTTTTACCCCCTTAATGTCTGACCAATTGTTGAACAGCATTTCCGAGCACATGACTTGTGTTTAAAGTTTATATTCCGTCTGTGTGAACCGGTGTGAACGCAAACCAAACCTTCTGAAAAATGAAACAATGTAACAAACTGTCGTCTGGTGCGCACCAGAGCGGACTATTAGGTGTGAATGCGACCTAAGACTATTTAAGGTAGAAATATATAAATGTCAAAAGCTCAGGACTTTTTAAATGAATAAGACATCGTGGCTATTTTCTGAGATTAAAGTGGTACATTTAAGAAATTTTTTTTTTTTTCGTCACTGTAAGGGTTGTAATAACTTCTCCACACCCTCACATTCAGTTTTTTTCTTGTCAATTTGTGACTTTAATCTCAAGAAACATAACTTAACATAATTTCTCTCTCTGTCATTTTATAATAAAACATGACCCTAATACATTGACGTAGATGCAGCCTTAAGACTGATTGAAAGTGTCACTGTGTCACTGAGCCAATTGACTTGTTCTTCCACATGCATGTGCGTGTCCTTCTATGTGAGTGTATCAAGTCCATGTTCACCTCGCCCCTCCAGTCTGAAAAGTGCCAGGTGTGTAAATAGGTCAGCTGTAAGTAACAGGCCCATGGCTCACACTCACACTGACTACAGGATGACTGTAGCTGCAGTAATTACCACCGGGTACTTTTCCACATTTCTTGTTTTGGTTATATACATTTTAATGTGTAGTACATACAGTGTTGGCATGCTTCATGTAGACAAAACACGCAGAAACATAGTGGTTATATAATATTTATACATCTCTATATTTGTTTGTGTTATTATGTGGCTACAGATCCCAAACTGTTCTCAACACCCTCCAGCTTTTTGTTAGATTCCACCACTAGCTTACCTTATTCAACTTAAAATATCTGGGATTTGATGTGGACTGAACAAGCATGCCAATATGCATCAAATGCATATTCTTTCGAGTTTGTACTTATTTGGTTGGAATAACAAATAACTTTAAACACTTTTGCAATTATCGAATGTTATATTTTGCACAGATACATACCATAAACTATACATTTTAAATATCTACACATTTTTCTCTAGAGCTGCGAATCATCCTTTGTAAATCCTGTGCCTCAGTATATTTATAGTTTCTAGTATATTGCTTAACTTTAACACAAGGTTTTTTACAGTCTTAACTATTAACAATGCAGCATCTGTATCATTGTCATTTGATGTTTAAGAAGAAACTGTCCGTCACCGTCCTATGCAGAAATGTACTTTCTTGTCACACCAGAGTTTGTGTGTGTGTGTGTGTAACCTCTCTGTGTATGTGTTCAGGTATGGACCTGATTGATCCTAAAGAGCTGGAGAGCATGAGACATCAGCTTGAAGATGCTCAGCGCTGGAATGCCTCTCTGCAGGCCCGCCTAGGAGCCATTCAGAGCCGTGGAGGAGGGGTCGGTGGGGCCAATGATGGTGGTAAGAGAAGAAAAACAATCTTTATTCTATCATTTCAGAGTTTTGCTGATGGGAGATGTTTTTTTAAATGTGACTCACATTTTTTCAGGGGAAACTTTGAGTTTCATTGGAGATCAGACTTCCTACATGAGTATCTGTGTGGGAGAGGAGCATGAGGACAGCTTGTCTCAGCTCTCCGCACAAGAGCTCAAGCAGAAGGTGATATACCTTTTAAACCTAGTACATTTTTAGACAAAAGCATTGTGTCTCTACTAAACACAACAGTAGATTTGAAAAGTTATCAAAGAAATGTCACCAAAATACGTAACTCAGTGAAACAATGATGCAAAAGGATTCAAATGAGTCTGTCTGGGCCTAAGGTGATGGAGCTGCAGGATTCCAGCAGCAGACTTCAGACTTTAAACAACGAGCTGCAGAACCGACTGTCATTATTGGAGAAGTCGGGCCAAGACGCTTACGTCAAGGAAGACAAAGACGTGGCCAGCAGCAGCCCATTAAAACAGGTTAGAGTCCACAAATGGAGAAAGTTGTACTTGGAAGTTGATTCGTCAAAGTTTATTTTCTTAAACATACAATAAAGGGCACCTTTCTCTAATTGATCAGCAAAGTGTGTCCACAAATACTCAATGGATCATGTCTTGAGTCATTGTCTAACATCACCTGTATTAGCTCCTTTCTAACCTTTGATCCTACATCTTAACCTTTGCTCTGTCTTTAGCCTGTTACTAATGTCTCTTTACTCTGGAGTAGAAGATCCTCTTTTTCTCCTTCACCTTTCCTAATCACTCCCTGTTTTTTTTCTATTTCTGTGTCCCATGAAATGCTCTCTCTTCGCCATTCCACATTAGACACGTCATACCATTCTGCTGTTGCTGTGCAGTGTTTTATGGATTCTGTTCCCTCATTATTAAGTTTTCTTTTATCGAGCCATGTGTCACACTCGCCTCCCATCCCATTACTCTAGCAGCCTGAGAAGACGCATGAGATGCAGCCTGTGGCTCACAGTAACAGGACGCATCTCTCCGCTCAGGATAAACAGAGTCAGACAGACATCAAAGTAGGACAGGTATGAAATAGATGACTATTTATTCGATTTTAATAAGCTTTTGAACTATTTTAAGACATAAGTTCATGTTAATAATATGGTGAATTCCCTGTGTTTTGTGACAGTGTAACCAATATTTCTTAACTGTCTCTTTTTAGATGTTGTCTGGAAAGCTGTTGGGAGACTTTAGTCTAGACAGTGGCCTTGGCCAGAGTAGAGAGCATGCTCACTCTGGCATCTCCACTTTGGACACTGAAGAGAGACACTCCAGGCAGAGTAACACCGATGTAACGGCACTTAAATCCTTGCTGACTAATTGTGGGGCTGCGTCAGTCTCACACCTCAGGTGGGTCTTTCCTTTGAGCAGTGTCCAGATCCTGCTCCTTATTTTCACTCTTAATAGTCTGTATCTTGATGAGTAAACTAATCGAATTTCCGTCAATGCAGAGAGGAGCTGCTCAGACTTCGATCAGAAAATACGGAGCTGCGGGGTCTCCTTAAGGAACAAAAGTCTACTGAGAGTAAAGAGAAAGCAAGCACAGACGCCTCAGGGAACAGCAGTGACGGACAGGCTGAATTGAGAAGGAGTCTGGAGAAACTGCTTGCCGAGTCAAAAGGTCGCACTAAGGTCATCAATCTGTCAAAGGAGGAAGGAGGGAAGAAGTCTAACGAGATGTCGTATAGGAAGACCCCTCTAACCCCTGAGCCGACTGTCAGCAGCAGTGAGGGGATGGAGAGTTCACCAACTAAAGGCCAGACATCACACAGCAGGAGTGCAAAGCAGCATGTTGCACGGCATGGGGTACGTTTCTTCATTAAGTGTAAAGAAACACAGCATTGCGCTCTGCATCAAGTCTAGGTTTTATCAGGTACTTATACATATTCAGTGTATACCTACAGGAGATAGGCATGCTTCTTTCTGAAAGAAAAAGCTATCTCAGCCAGCATGGGAACTAAGCAATGTCTTTCTGTGGACGGAGGCAGCGGCATACTGAATTTACCACATAAAACAATCAATATCGTGTATATGCTATATTTAGAATATTTGAACCAGTTTTACGTGAGAAACACAATGATTTTATCCTGCAGAACACAGACGTTTCTACTGCTGCCTTGATTCTTTATTTGTCTAATGGTGTGACTTTGTTGGATCGAAAGTTAGCCCTTTAAAACACAAAAGTGACAAAATAGCTAACCAATCCATGCAGCGGTAGAGCAGCAACTCCCCTTATTTTATTGTTTGTCAATGAAGTGAAGTGGCTTTGAAGAGAGCATAGATAGCATCCTCCATAATGGTCCTCCAAACTGGGGGGCATGCTGTTTAAGTACACAGATTATGGATAAGTACCTACAATCCCTTTTGAAACAATTGAAACTATCCCTTTTAATATCTGTTCCATTTGTTTCAATCGCAGGAAGGTGTCAAGTCTCGCCTCCCGGTCCCTGTGAGGCTGAGGGTGGAGGCTAGCAGCATGCAGTCTGTGAGCTCTGACCAGCCTAAAACTGATTCACTTGAGCACCTTCAGTTGGATGGTGTATATGCGTTTGATCAGCAACTGCATGCAGAATCTGACGCCCCCCTGTCACCCCAGCACAGCACTTCCCCTTCTTCCACGCTCAGATACAAACATCATACCGGCAGTCCAGTGGGATCAGACAAAGGCTCTGAAACAGGAGCAACACCGGATCATTCCCAGGCTGACTCTGCTCTTTTCTCTCAGCTGGAGCTTCTAAACCAGGAGTGTCAAGAGAAAGAGATGCTGATCAACAAGCTAAGTGAGCAGCTAGCGGATTGGGAGGAGCTCCACGCTCAGATCCAGGAAAAGGACAGACTTAATCGCCAGTACGTGGAGGCCTTACAGGCTGCAGAATCCACCATCTCCTACCTGACCGCCTGCAGTCTGGACAGCCAGGGAGGATTTGGGTCGCTCACCAGTCCTGCAAGTTCAGATTCTGCCCTTTACAGCAGATGCATGGAGCTGCAAAAAGCCCTACAGGAGAAGGAGGAGCTCAACAAGCAGCTCATAGAGCTTCTGAACATGGCGGAGAAAGCCATCGGCTCAACTGATGGACAAGAAAAGATTCCAGAAATCAGCGATTTATGTTTGAAGATAGAGACGGCCTTGCAGCAGGGGAACAAATCTTCAAATAGACCTAGCCTAAGAGGTGTTACTGGAGGCACAGAGGAATCTATGCAGGCGTTGCAACAACACACAGACTCTTTGCAGGAGGCCCTGTGGCAGCAGAATAGGCTTAATGCAGAGCTGCAGGAACAACTGAGAGCTGCAGAGGCTGCTGCTCAACATAGATACAACAATGAGCAGGATGGTAAATGTTCAAGGCAGACAGTAGCAGAATCACTTCACGAAAAGCAGACAAGGGGTCATCCATTTGAAATGGGTAGTTCCGATGTTAGTTTAAATCAGGAGATGACCAAAGTCCTGATGAACTGCCTGAGTGCAGCAGAGTCTGCTGTTGCCTCTCTGGCAGCACACTGTACAAACAGCAGCTTCTTGTCTTCTGGTAGATCATCACAGACCAGCCCTGAACTGCAGATTCATTTAGACAAACTTCACAGAGCCCTGCGAGAGAGGAAGGAACTGGGGGAACTGGATCAGCTCAGTGTCAATCAGTCACCTCGAAAAAAGGGACAGCTCCACCCAGAGCTGCATAACAACATCTGCCGCCTCTATGAGGTGTTCAGTGATAACTGTCAGAGAATCTCTGAACTCCAGGCCTCCCTCAAATCAGAGAGAAGCCGTAAAGAGGACAGCGACGTCCACAGGACTCTGCCGGACGCCAACAGTTTACCACCCAGTGTTCAAGTGCAGCTGGAGACTCTGCATAAGGCGCTGAGGGAGAAGAAGAAGGCGTGTAAAAGCCTGGAGGAGAAACTGGCTACTGCTCTTACCTCCCCGGAAACAGCAAGGAGAGGTTAGCATGCTGAGTTCTTTTTATTTCTTGTTGCTTTAAAGTAGTTGAAAGTGCATGAGCAATTTCAAATTTGTAATGATTTTAAGATTCTTCAAAGTAGGGCTGTACTGAACGCGTCTATTGAGGTTTTTAAAGGAAACTTTGGAAACTAAAAACATTTCAAACTCTTTCACAAACAGAATCCTCATTCTGAACAAAAAATCATTATCTTAGCATTACACTTTTTATGTGCAGAATGCAAACTTTTTGTGAAAATGCAGATGAGATGCTTTCTTACTTTTTTATATATATATTCGGTACAGCCTTACGAGATGTGTTAAAACCTTTTGCTTATCCAAATGAATCATGAACACCATGAAGAGAAAATAATCTGTACATGTGAATTTCGTCCTAACCCGACATATATTGCCTCCACTGCCAGCTCTGGAGCAGGATGACAAAGGCGTGCAGGTGGATTTGCAGGACCTGGGTTACGAAACCAGTGGCAAGAGTGAGAACGATAGGGAAGAGAGCAGTAGCACAGGTAGACGGCCTGCTGAGTGGACACTAATCTTTACTGTAGATTCTCTCTATGTGTCTGCATGAGGACTGAGATAAGGCCACTGTAACACACTGTCTCTCACCTGGAGAAATGTTTTCTGTTTGGGTCTCATAACCACACTCTCTACTGGCGTTAACCTGGTATTTCTCTGCACTATTCCCACATTTGAATGAACTGTCAATATGTTTGCCATGACAAATTCTTGCATGTTTTCATTCTGAAGTTTGGGATTGTCTTTTCGAGCACTCCTTAACCTTTACACTTTTATTTCTTGTCTTATTGTTTCACAGTCCAACTGTATCTCAAATCCTTTTATGTCACAGTCACCATTTATTTCTCTCAACTTTGTAATGTTTTCTTGTTCCCTGGTTGATTGTTTTGTGTCCCCTGTGTTGCCAGATCTAGAGGTTGGTGTACAGCCCAGCCGCAGCGCCTCCAACCTGCCCTCCCCACACGATCAGGCCACGTTTTCCTCCACTGAGAACCTGGACTCCACCTCCAGCACCCCATATCCCAGCTCCCCCGCTCTCAGCTCTGCCAAGGTACTCATCTAACTTATTGCTTTGAACCCCTCCCCTAAATAATTATAACTAACAATGCACAGCAAGTTGGTCAAGCTTTTGAATTGTCCCTGTGTTTGCAAAGGTACTCATTATTTAAATAGTTTAAATGCTTAAACAGTCTCTCTTTTAGCCTTTCCAAAACCAAAAACCCACGTAAATATAGGATATGTATTTAACAGCAATGTTGTCCACTTACACACCATGACCAGCTGCAGCCTCATGCCTTCATTAGTCGCATGGATTAGGACTCTCTTTAGTCTAAATAACTTCAACTTAGTCGACTAACACTAAAACTATTTGGTCTACAAATAGATTAGTTGATTAAATGGAGAAATCTGTAACTCTGCGTTTCTCACAAAAGAAGGCGACACTAATTATTTTGTTTACCAGAAATGTGATCACAATTGACTTGGAATACATTTTGAAGCCCTTCCGTCTGTTTTCAGTTCAGTCTGAAGAGCCTGCAGGTCTATGATGACTACGGTGTTTCTAAGGACCCTCTGCAGCTCCAGGCACAAGTCAGAGAGCTAAAGGTCCAGCTGGAAAACCAGACCAAACTCATCCTGCAAATGCAAAGTCTTCTGCGTAGGAACTCTCTCTCCAGTGACCTAGTTTCCAGCCCCCCTGATCCCTCGACCATCAGGGATCAAGCAATGATACACAGAGAGGACAAGAGCCGAGATATGAGCTACAGAAGTGGGCAGCTAGGGGAGAAAAAGGAGGGTGAGAACCAGGCGATGAAGGATAAAACCAGCCTCCTGAATATGGGACTGGACAGAGAGAGGGCTCTGAACAGAAGCACAAATGAACAGCAGCAGCAGTCCCGCAGCCGCTCCACCTCACCTGCAAGGTCAACACTCTTTGTCAATGTGAAAATATTGTAATATTGATAATGCACTGAGTGAAAGTTGCACACATGTTTTGAACCAAATCTTGACTCATTCCGTTGTTTTTATCCCCCTTGCTTGCCCTCATTCTGTCCTCCCCACAGACTGGACTCCCTGGTGCAGTCGCAGGCCAGGGAGCTGTCCCAGCTGAGGCAGCAGATTAAGGAGAGCCGCCGGCTGGGAGCCCTGCAGCGCCGACAGCTGGACCAGCTGAGCAAGGCCTTCACGGAGCTGCTGCAGGCCAGCGAGGTGGACTTCTACAAAGGGGAGGCCGTCAAAGAGCAGCTGGAGAAGAGCCTGAGCATCCTGGACAGGCTGGAGGGACGTCTGGACAAAGGTAGCTCTTTGGAGAAATATTGCTTATCAGAATCACAGTTTTGATATTTGATTAATGAACTCTCTACAATTCTAGATGTGTTTGTAATATATTGTAAATACATTCTGTTTGGTTTCTGGGCCCATAACACATATACAGTGTCTCCAGCCAACACAAATACTAATACAAAATGAATTAAGGCTCTCTGACTAAATACCTAATATTAGTTTAAAAAAGGTTTAAGGCATGTAGAGACTTCCGGTTTAAGCGGAGCCATGCAAGGTCGCATTTTTCAAGCTCCTTCTGAATCTGAAATATTTGTATTAGGAACTACACCCTAAACTGTATTCAACTAATTACAAATCTAAGTTTTTCTTGCTTGCCTACGACCAATAGTTTCACTGCAAATATGTAATCTTCCTATCGCAAAAAGGTTTAAGGCACGAAGTTAGTTTTAAACATAGCTGTATTTGAATCAGTTTTTGCCCATTGTTCAGAAATGTATGGATGCTTCAACAAAGAAAAGAGCACTAGGCACCAGCAGAAAGACGTGAACACAAGAGAGCAGTCACCCGTTACTGATGTTCACAGACAGGGCCTTGAAAGCATCTTTTCCTCTGTCTGATAGGAGAGTCTCGTCTGGATAACGAGGACGTGGCAGCCCTGGAACTGTCTCGCAGGTGCGTCTTAACTCACACACTGCCCTAACTTATTGTCAATGTCTTCATTTATTTGCTTGTGTGTTTGTTGTGTGATTAATCATGGTGGAAAACAATATCTCTAATATTCAGAATCATCTCATTTGTTATATTGTAAGGGTACTGGGATACTAGCTGCAACGAAAACAAACAGCCCTGCGCCTAATCAAAACTTAATTTTAAGTAGGTGCTTGACAGTAATTTGTCAAAGTCTGTGAGATGTGTTTGACCAGTTTTGCATCTTTCTCTGAGCCAGTTCTGTGTTTCTGAAGGTCGGACTGCACATTGTAACCATTTGAGATTTCAGGGTCATTAGCTGTGCTGTTTTGGCGTTTTGTCCCATGACCCTTTTAAAGACCCCCCCCCCACACCCACCCCCAGCCAATTGCCTTATGACCCCGAGCGGTGTGTGTTGTTGATTTTGAATAGCGTCCTGCTGCTGACCTAATTTCCTCTGTGACAGCCAAAACATTAAGGTTATTCTGCCCCCCAACTGGGTCACCGGTGTCTCTGAAAATAAGAGACACGCACACGCACACACATACACACAAACCACATGTCAATGTTCATTCGTTTATTCACAATTATTCAAGCTATATCACCCAGAATGCAAATCAAGCTTAGCACCAATATGACTATAGTAACATTTTTGATTAGAATTCGATCATAGCATCGGCCATTTTAAAATAGCTTCATTATTTTGATGTATTGACAGAAACATTGACTTTGCAGCTACATGATGACATGCACACTTTAATTTTCCAACAGCTCCTGTGTCTTAACCCTTTAATGGGCATTCACATATAAATATTTTTGAAAATGTATTGATTGCTATTTTTGACACCCTTATTATACCTATGATACACCCATATTAGACTGTTATTTCAGCCCATTACACTGTTATTACACCTATTACAGATGAATACACCCTTGTTACACCTGCATTACATCCATGTAACACCAATATTACACATTGCCTGCCAATAGGTTAGGATAATAAACTTAAGTGGTTAATACTAGTGACATGAATGAATCGACATTATGTGTGATGTGGGTAGTGTTGGGCAGCTCCAGCAGGGATCACTGCTCTCTGAGCAGAGCATGGCAGATCCTCCTGACAGCACGGCTAGAGTCCAGCAGGAGATAGAGACCCTGCGTCTGGAGCTAGAGGGGGACAGAGAGCTGCTGCAGCTGCACGTCGGCCTCCTCGTCCAGCAGAACCTCTTGCTGGCTGAAAACACCCGGGAACAGCTGGACCTGTGAGAGGGTTTGATCCTGACAGACAGCATGACGTGTGCTGTGAACCCCTTTCCATCGTTCAAGCTGTGTGTTTCTGACCTTTAGTCTTGAGTCTTTTTTTTTGGTGCTGTTCCTCACGATGTGTGATTATCCTCACTGTGTTCAATTGTTTTGCTCTCCAACGCCCAGCAGAGATGATGTAATGGATCAAATCCAGCTGTTAATTCCTTTCGAGAACAAGTCGTGACATCATTTTTTTCCCATCTCCTTCCAGGTTGGCGAAAGAGCTGCAGGAGAAGAACTGTCTGATCCAGAGTCTGCAGAGCCAGGTCAGAGGTAGAAGTCCCAGCAGCCACCAGGGCTCTCACTCTGACCTGTTCCACTCAGACAGAACCTCCTCCTGCCACAGCAGCCCGACTACACCCAGTGGCAGTCGGTCCCAAAGTAATCATGAAGATAATGTTCAAATAAGCTGCAGATGTAAATCTCAAACATACTCATCATTCAATTATTTATTTCTGATTATAGTCAAAAGCCAAGATTAACTCGGTTACTTCCCTTAATCTTTTTTCATCCTTTTAAATACATATTAGTTTAAACCTTCTAACCATTTCTAACCATATTTTATACTTTTTGAAATATTCAGCTTTTTAAACTCTTTTTTTTAACATTGAAGTCAATGGGAGATGCCTTCAAATCCTCTTTTCCTACACTTTGCGCCAAATGCTACTCCTTCCACATACTTTCAGCTAGACACTTCATTCCAACTTTCAAATGATCACAACACCTTCAGCTATTCAAAATTATTTTTGATATCTTTTACACTTTTTGAGATAATTAACTTAGTTTGGAGCTTGGTAGAGAGGCCTTTTTCGGCTGGAGTGTGGATGGAGCAGCTCGTTAAGTCTAGAGTGCTTTGATCTCAAAACAGAGTGCAGCAGTTCTTCAAATTCTCCCCCAAAAATGTTTTAAACTTGCCATATTTCCCAAACCCTACACTCCTCAGACATATTTTTTCATGAAAAACGTAGGAAAACCTCTCCTAGGTTGGAAAATGAAAAAAAATTAAACAAAATGCCTCTTGAGGGCATGAAGAGACAAAAAGTCCAGCTAGCTCCCAATTGATTCCCATGTTAAATCTTTCCGGAACTTTCTTCAGAACAGAGAGAAGTACACTTTAGACAAACTGCTCCCATCTCCACATTTTACACACAAAACCAAAAAAAACAACATATATCAGTTCATTGGGGTTCCCTGATGCTCACGGTCTGGTCATTTTTTGATAGGAGCCATAGTTTTTGAACAGGTGGCAAAATTGTCAGATATAATCCTCAATGCATTCTTAATGGGACTCAGTGCTGCAGTTGGAAAATCGTCATAAGTCGTCACCATGGTAACCTTTCATCTCTGGGTTTACACACACAGGTGTTTGTAAACATTCATTCACTACTACTTACATTTAATATCTTTATTTCTCTCTCTCACAGACACAGACTCTCTCTCTCTCTCTCTCTCTCACACACACAATCTCCCTCTCTCTCACAGACACATCAAGAGAAGAGAGAGAGGGCGATCAAGAGAAGAGTGAGAGGGTGATAGAAGAGTGATAGGGCGATCAAGAGGAGAGAGAGAGGGCGATCAAGAGGAGAGAGAGAGGGCGATCAAGAGGAGAGAGAGATGGCGCTCAAGAGGAGAGAGAGAGGGCGATCAAGAGGAGAGAGAGAGGGTGATCAAGAGGAGAGAGAGAGAGGGCGATCTAGAGAAGAGAGAGATAGGGCGATCAAGAGGAGAGAGAGAGGGTGATCAAGAGAAAAGAGAGGGCGATCAAGAGAAGAGAGAGAGGGCGATCAAGAGGAGAGAGAGAGGGCGATCAAGAGAAGAGAGAGGGCGATCAAGAGAAGAGAGAGGGCGAGCAAGAGAAGAGAGAGAGGGCGATCAAGAGAAGAGAGAGAGGGCGATCAAGATAAGAGAGAGAGGGTGATAGAAGAGTGAGAGGGCGATCAAGAGAAGAGGGCGATCAAGAGAAGAGAGAGAGGGCGATGAAGAGAAGAGAGAGAGGGCGATCAAGAGGAGAGGGCGATCAAGAGAAGAGAGAGAGAGGGCGAGCAAGAGAAGAGAGAGAGAAGAGAGAGAGGGCGATCAAGAGAAGAGAGAGAGGGCGATAGAAGATTGAGAGGGTGATCAAGAGAAGAGAGAGAGTAATGTAACCTCCTAATGTAATGTATAACTCCTATGAAAATGTTCAAAAAGTGCTCAAACTTCACATGTGTGCTAACAGTCCAGCCGTGAAGACATCTACGGGACAGTTTTGAGATTTCTTCAAATGCCGTTGCCATGGCAACACAATGCTCACCATGAAACACGGTTTTCTCATAACTTCAGTGAAAATGCTCGAAATGGCCCAAAACTTCACAGGTTTGGTAACGATGCAGCCATCAACACATCTAAGCGTATTATGGGGTGTCATCAAATGCCGTTGCCATCGCGACAGATAATTCACCATCAAGTTAGTTCAAAAGTTTGCAGTTCAAATATTCTGCTGCTTTCCCAAGCCTTTTTACTTTCTTTTCTCATCTTAATACAAATTCATTCACTACTACTTACATCTGATATTTAACTCCTTCAGCCTATTTTCAGCTGCAGAAACCATTCAACTATTACATTATTCAGCTATTTCAGGACATCAAGGCTATACATGTTTTTTTAACCTCTTAAGCACGGCGGTCCCCCCATTGGACCCCTCCCACCGTTTTGTTTTCGAGATAATGTCTCAGGGCTTCTTAACATTTATGAAACTATTAATGTATAGCACCAGATTAACGGGAAGAATCTCAGCTAACTGAAGATATGAACCATTTTTACCAAAACAAAACACAAGTCTCATAAGAAGCGTCTAAATGACCCCATAGCGAAAAAATTCTAACGCACTGCGGCACACAATTCAAGATAAAAATACCCTTATTACTTATCGTAGCTGCACATACAATATAGCCGATTAAAGCTGAGACTCCACTGATTATTTAGGTATATTATCATCACTGAGCGATCCTAAATTGCGACAGGGGAAGCAAACACAGACATCACAACACGTACCTTTACGGAGCTTTTACGGCAGATCGTCTCACCGTAGCTGTCAATTAGGTCAAAAGACGTGTTCAATGGCATTAAAACGAAAAAAAAAAAATCTACAACTGTTGATCCATAGGTTGATAATGTACCTGTGCCTTTTAAAAAATTATTTATAATCCATAATTCCATTTTTTATGTAAAAATCGGAGCGGAAAAGTTAGCTGCTAATGGTAGCCACCAGAGTGTATGCAGCTTCCGGTTTTGGTAACGCGTCACTCTCACTCCTTATTTGTTAACGTGTTGGTGTGTATATAACTTTCCCTCGATTCCATTGGCTCTAGCGGTTATAAAGAGATTTCATTCATCAAAATCGAGTAAGGGGGGCCAGAGATAGGTCAAATCCACCCAAATGACCCCAGAAGTGGGGGTTTTTGGCTAAATCTCTCTAAAAAGGTCAAATTTCACTTGTTTTGCATCAATCTTGATACAGGGTACTTATTATATGTTGTACTTTGGATTCCTAAAGCTTTTAGTCTACTAACCCATCATCCAAGGGTAGTTTTCACTATCTGTAAAAAATAATTTTTGGACGGACACTATAATTTACAGTTTTTTACTATGTAAAATCTGAATTTTCTTTAAAATAAAAAACATCTATATTGATTCTGACTTTTCTAAATCCAACTCACAGGTTTATCATTACTTTGAGAAAAAAGATGATTAATTTAACCCTTTTAGAAGGGAAGATATGGTCATTTGTTCTGGGAATGTCATTTTCGAGCCTGAGACCTGAAAAACAGGCTCAGGGCTTAAGAGGTTAAATCTTTTCTTTTAAATATTAAGCTTTTTCTGCATTTTTGTAGCTAAAAGCAGCTACCATTCAGCTAATAACATATTCAGATTTTTCTGCATTTTCAGCTAAATTCATTCACAGTTTACAGCATTCGCACGCATTTTCTGCAGGAAATGCATTTTCTAGTTTAAACCTGTAATTGTAATGAGATAAATAATTGGGGTTTGATTGTTTGTTTTTTTGTCCTTAAAGATCTGCGCTTCTGTATTTTCCATACAAAGTTATTTTAGACTTACAGGAGCTGAAATTGAACTTAAAAAAAGCTCACACCCGCCAGCATGTATGCCATACAGAACCAAAATAATTGAAAGTTTAAAAATCCAAAATTGTCCCGAATGATGCTTCGGGGTTAAAAATAAATATTTTACAATTTATTGTAATTATTGAGATTATCTGACTCCTTGTCCACAGCCCCTCTTTTCTAGTCTCAGCCTGTAATGGCACTTCTTTTCCACTCAGATCCATTGTGGTGCAGTGAAGCATCCCGCACCACAAAGCATGCCGACCAAAGGCAGAGCAGGTGTCAAGTTTCAATCCACTTAAAGTTGCATTATTCAGTGCCACCTACCCGGTTCAATCCTCAAACTGTGTTTCCCCTTGGGAAAAGAGACAGTGAAGGCTAACGCAGAGACAAGTGAAGCCTGAGGATATGCGAGAAGTCTCAGAGGGTCTTTGTTCTGCTAACATGGAGTATAATAAGAAGATGACATTTTGGTTTAAGAGCACATATAGAAGGTGCAACATTACTCTTTATTCATTTTTGGATTTAATGAGGAATGATATGGGGGGCCAGAAAGGGCTTTCCCATACATATGTAAAAAAAAAAGACACAAAAAGGAATTACCATCTATTTTTAAGTTGTAATTATTAATTGACCACCTCTATGTGTTTAGGCCAGAGGCAGCTCTCTGATTGGACGGGAGCAGCTGTTGTAGGTGGAGCTCAGGAGGACGCTGTCAGCAGACTGCAGGGCCTGCACAGGGAGAACGTGCGACTGCAGGATCGGCTGAGGGGCAGCGAGGATCTGAACGCCACGCTGCACAGTGAACTGGACCTGCATCGCTCCATCATGGCCCAGAGCAGCTCCCACCACCAGGAGCCGGATCAGAGCCAGGAGCCGGGTCACAGCCAGGAGCGGGATCAGAGCCAGGAGCCGGATCACAGCCAGGAGCCGGATCACAGCCAGGAGCGGGACGGGTCAGGACCGCAGGCAGACCATAAACCAGAAGAAGACCTGGGCTCACAGAGGAACGCTGCTGATCAGCCTCGCACCATGAATTCAGGTAAACATGGGGTCATGTCAGATAGTTAGACTTTCTATTTTCTTATAATTATTCATTTACACAACCATAGTGGGGGTCAAATTCAAAAGCAACACTTTCTGTCTTTTATTACAGTGTTTCAGCTTATGATATTTAAAGACAAATTGTGTTTTGGGCTTTGTAGTTTCATGGTTTTGTAACATCTTGGGATTTGGTTGTTATTAAACGTGCATAATTATAATACTGGATGGAGTTTCCCTTCACTTGAGTTTTAAAAAGAAATGAATGATGTCATTGGTGGAAGAGATTCTCAAAGCCTGTATATTAAATGAATTTTGACCAGAAAGTCAGGATAAGTTGGGCTAAAAACAAGCATTTGACTAGTTTGGTCTCCTTTTCAATCGGGGCCCCTGCAAAAGTAATCATACAGTATACCCGGTATGCTATGACTGAAGATAGGCACCACTACAAGATGAATAAATGACTGTTGTTGTTACCCTCTTGACTGTAAGGGAGCCAGGAGGGACAATTAAGTGAGATTCAACCTTTCGTGGTGCCAATGAGTGACTTTTTTTAACCACGCCTTTCTCTCATATTGTAGTTTATGTGAGTGCAATACTTCATCTCTTTGAATCAAGCTGTGTGCATGTGTGTGTCAGACCTGCTGGCAGAACATCTTCAGGAGATCCGCGCACTGCGACAGCGTCTGGAGGAGAGCATCCGCACCAACGACCGCCTCAGGGAGCAGCTGGAGAAGAGACTGGCAGAGGTGGAGAAAGACCCAGGTAACCACACCTCAAATCACCTGGATGCGTTTCATTCTCTATGTCTGTCATAAGGGTTTGTCTCTAATCATATTTCCTTAAACAAAAGTACTTCTTTGTGTGCCCGTGTTTAGCAGCCACCAACATCTTCATCCACGGCAACGAGGAGCAGGGTCAGCTGGCCAATGAGGTGCGCTTCCTCTGGGGACAAAACCAAACCCTGAAAGATCAGCTCAGCCTGGGCTCACGAGGTAAAACACACCTTGTCATATAAGCTCACTTTAACCTATAACACATCTTTTCAGTTAATAGAACAGTTGACGTAGAGAGATGATTGTTTCCCTGATTTTGTTGTTATTTTGCCCATACCTTTATCTAAAATGTACACATACAGTATATGTCGCTAATAGGTGCTTAAAACTAACTTCAACTTAATTTTTCACTAATATAGAAGTGTTTTTAATTCCTTCAGACAAGCAGAAGGAGAATGAGAAGCTACGGGAGACTCTGGCCAGGCGGACGGCCAAACTGGAGCAGAGCAGGAGGGAGTGTGAGGCTCTGAGGCAGGAAAACAGCCGCCTGCAGGAGAGGCTGGAGCTCAGCAGCCAGGAGAACTCCCAGCTGCAGGAGTCCCTGCACTTCAGCAAGGAGGAGCTGCACAGGTACACTCACACACACTTCTAAATGTCTCCTAGCAGTATCTATTGTCCCGACTCTCCTTCATGCAACCTGAAACTACACAAAGCTACTACATAGCATGTCAAGAGTCATACTATTATCACTATTCCATACTATTTGTACGACAGGGAAACCAGGATAGTGGTATACATTTGTTGGCTTACTCCATGAACACAACACCGGATCATTTGATGCTATAAAGACGGTCCTCTGTGACCTCATGACCCGCGGTCCTCCTGCCGACAGGTGAGTGAGGCTGAAACACGAAACCTGGCAGTCCTAGTTTACTGTCCAGCATCACTTCTCCTCTCCTTTCCCTCCTCGTGTTTATTGTTTCCTGTGTGTTGTGTGGTTCGTGTACTATATAATGTGTGTGTGTGTGTGGTGTGTGTGATGCTGTGATGGTGTGTTGGTGTGTGTGGTGGTTTGAGTGTGTGGATGTGTGTATGTGTGTGTGTGTGTGTGTGTGTGTGTGTGTGGTGGGTGTGTGTGTGTGTGTGTGTGTGTGTGTGTGTGTGTGTGTGTGTAGTGTGTGTGGGTGTAGTGTGTGTGCTGTGGTGTGTGTGTGTGTGGTGGTGATGTGTGTGTGTGTGTGTGTGTGTGTGTGTGTGTGTGTGTGTGTGTGTGTGCAGGTGTCAGTGTGAAGTAAAGCTCCAGAGGCAGCAGCTGTCTGACTCTCAGCACCTCCTCCAGTCACTACGAGTAGAGCTGCAAGTTTACGAGAAGATCAAGACTGAAGATCGTAAACACAACGGTAAAGCAATTTCATACATTTAGAAAGAGCCTATTGTCACGTGATGCAGTTTAGACTTTAACACGGTCAGACACAACAGTGTGCCGGAACAAAAACTAGAAGTCTTCTAAATGTAAAAGATGTGTTTTAATCTTTCAAGCCCTCATCAAAGTTTGTAGCCTGACTCAGACTTTAAACTATGAAACGATATCAAAATGTATATGAAGTTCAGGCGTTCTCACATAGAGATTAAATACATGTCTTATTTGTTTTAGTTTTTTGAAGATAGTCTGATAATAGGTCAACATTGGAGAAAACATGACTACATTATTTGTATTTGTTAAGAGTCACAGAAAGTGAAGAGAGTGCAGGTGAAACTATATGAAGTGGTGTTTTGCTTCCTTTCTGAACCTTTTCCTGTTGGTTTCCTGTAGCACTGGAGCTGATGTTTCCTTCTCCTTCCCTGTTTTCACAGCTGAACGCAGTGAGGGGTCCCAGGAGCCCGCCCCCCTCCCGCCCTCCGGCTCGCTGGACCTGAGCGAGCTGCTGCTGGAGATCAGACACCTGCGTCTGCAGCTGGAGAGGAGCATCCAGACCAACACCGCCCTGAGACAGAGGCTGGAGGAGCAGCTGCTCCGAGGACCCCACCGCTCTGAAACCATCAACATCAACTACCTGCTGTCCTCCCCAGGTAAACACAGGGCACACACCCACAGGCTGGTCACGGGTGATAGGTATATGTAGGAGCCATTTATGTTCATTGCTGGCATTTTTATTTTGCTTGGATGCAATAAAATGCAATATTATTTTTGAACACTTGGTGGTGGGGGTTAGCTGCACAGGGTGTATAAATAGGGTCATAGGTCACAGGAGAGAGGACAGGACACAGGAAGAGGGAGAGCGTACTATTCTAACATGACACGGCAGATGCTAAACGGCTACAACAAGTAACTGGCAGATTCAACCTTTGGTATTGAACTCTCTTTCAGAACCAGACATGTACCTGTTTTGTCTGCGTATAGACCCCTCTCACCCCTCACCAGGGTAATATAGAACCAGACATGTACCTGTTTTGTCTGCGTATAGACCCCTCTCACCCCTCACCAGGGTAATATAGGACCAGACATGTACCTGTTTTGTCTGCGTATAGACCCCTCTCACCCCTCACCAGGGTAATATAGGACCAGACATGTACCTGTTTTGTCTGCGTATAGACCCCTCTCACCCCTCACCAGGGTAATATAGGACACTGGCCCTCATTACAGTATACATAAAGACACTGGTATTCTTTCTTCTCAGATGAAGGAGGCAGGTCACCAGGTCGTGAAGGCTGCGATCCTCTCCGTCACTCATTTCAGAGTCACAACGAACACACGAGTGTCCTCCATGGTGAGAAAAACAATGATGTTATCATTATAATAACAGTAAATAAAGCTGGTGTCGCTCTCATGTGGTCACAACTGACAGTGTTTTCAAACATGTTTTCAGAAGAGAAACGTGGCTCTCACTCGGAGGTGGAGGGGGGCTCGTTCAGCAGCAGCTCTGGGGACAGCGCTCCCTCTCGCCTGGTGCCCGGCCACCGCATGTGGGCCAATCGTAGCGGCCGCCATATTCTGGGTCTTATTGAGGACTACAACGCCCTCCGTAAGCAGATCTCAGAGGGACGGAAGCTGTCGCGCAGCATGAACGCACACCTGCAGGAGAGCCTGCACACACTCACACAGCAGGGCTCTGACAACAAGGTACACACCAAGTATCATGTTTGGAGATGTTTTATTCGCACTTTGTGATATGATACTATACCAGTGGTATCTGAGCTGGTCCCCGTTCTATAAGTACCCCCTCACTCCTCTGTGATCATTCACCTACATGTTTTCTTGTATTAAATCCTTTGTAATCATATTCAACCCAACTGCTCCTAAAAGAAAATGCCTTTAAATTTGACATTTACACTTATTGTCTCACCTATTATGCTATATTTGAACAATATATTATAGGGCCATATCTTTACAAAACATGTCTCTGAAGTGTTTTGCTCAAAATACCAAACAGATCACCCAGCATGCCTCATCCCCCTCTATTCCAGCCCTGTTACTAAAGTTCTGATTCTGGGTCTGGCCCTTTAAATGTAACCGAGCTGCTGCTGGCCACGCCCCTTTGGAGCGTCATCAAGGACAGTATCTTTTATATCCGTGCATTTTGCATAAAAGGTGACCTTTAAGACTCACGAGGAAATTGGAGGGCTACTTTTTTGATATAATCTTCCTCCAAATAAGAACATTATTTGTACTTATTACTGTTTCCAATGGGCGTTGTTTTGAAAAGTGGTGGGGACACATTTTTCAGATAGAAATCAAACTGTATTGCGTGCCCCCTTATTTTTGTACACACTAGTTTCCCTATGTGTAAGCAACACCTGTAGACACAGGACGTACAGCCAGGCTACAGACGCTGTGGCAGGAACATTATATGTGGCGGGAGGGGGGGGAATTATTGAGGAAGCCAATAAAGATTATTTTAAATGTTACCATGTAGCATTCTGGTACTCTGAGAATAAATAAAGCAAAAAGACTGCGTTTGGATAGGAACAGGGAGGAGGGTCCCTGTCCTGACGCTCTGCTGACACACGGAGACGAACCAGCAGGAACACTGCGTTAGGATAGGAACAGGGAGGAGGGTCCCTGTCCTGACGCTCTGCTGACACACGGAGACGAACCAGCAGGAACACTGCGTTAGGATAGGAACAGGGAGGAGGGTCCCTGTCCTGACGCTCTGCTGACACACGGAGACGAACCAGCAGGAACACTGCGTTAGGATAGGAACAGGGAGGAGGGTCCCTGTCCTGACGCTCTGCTGACACACGGAGACGAACCAGCAGGAACACTGCGTTAGGATAGGAACAGGGAGGAGGGTCCCTGTCCTGACGCTCTGCTGACACACGGAGACGAACCAGCAGGAACACTGCGTTAGGATAGGAACAGGGAGGAGGGTCCCTGTCCTGACGCTCTGCTGACACACGGAGACGAACCAGCAGGAACACTGCGTTAGGATAGGAACAGGGAGGAGGGTCCCTGTCCTGACGCTCTGCTGACACACGGAGACGAACCAGCAGGAACACTGCGTTAGGATAGGAACAGGGAGGAGGGTCCCTGTCCTGACGCTCTGCTGACACACGGAGACGAACCAGCAGGAACACTTCAGACCGTTTTGAAACATTTCTCCCAGCAAAGTGATCAGAAGTCGTAAATGCACTCTGAATGTTGCATTTCATTTACCGATCCTGAAAACAGTCACTTCACGGAGATCCTGCAGCATGCCCCCCCGCAGCAGCTTCTCTCACCGAGGAGAGGAGACCCCTGATATTTAAAAACAAATATTGTTATTCATGTAAGACAAGAGTTATTTATTGATTTAGCTATTTTTAGAACGCACCCTGTAGATGACCAGGTGCCCGCGTCATACATACTACTTTAATTTGTCATATGTTCTTTTTTGAGAGAGTAAAGAATAGTCATAGTAAATTACAACTTTTTTTTATCACTTTTTTGAGACAAATGTTAATACTGTATCCTTGCAGCTTGCTCAAATGACACATAAAGAGTCATACACCTAAATGCCATGTTGTGTCCTTCTCCATAGGTCGACCAGCAGCATCTGGAGAGTTTCTCGGGCAGCGTGAACACCATGCAGCATGTGATGGAGGAGGCGGGACGGATGCTCAAACTGGTGTGGAGGGTCTCTCTGCCAGCAGGGGGCCCAGCAGGGGGCCCAGCAGGGGGCGGGGGCAACAACCAGCAGGTAGATGTCCACACACACATAAACTGCCTCTAATTAAGTAAGTTAGGAATCATCTACCCAACGAAAACCCTAATCTTCTTATCCTTGGTGTCAGGATGAGCTGCTGAAGAATGAGATATCCAGACTGAAGAGCAGGCTGTCCCAGCAGGAGAGGATGCTGAGCGGAGCGGTGAAGCGCCTCCGAACAACCAACCAGCTGAAAGAGGGGATGGAGCGAGTCATCATCGATCAGCGTGAGATTACCTTTAAGATGATCTGGTTTGACTTAGACAGTTCATCTACTATGTACCAACAGGTCTGATTGTTCTCCCAATGTGAGGATCTGCTACTCTGTTTCTGTGTTTTATATATCTGAATATCCCTGTGTTCTTTACAATTTCCTTTTTACAATTTTCTCTAACTTTTGCTGACTAAATTATAAATAATAAAAATGATCTGAAAATAATTGATAATGAAGATATAATAATCCGTTGAAGCTCTTCTGTTTACGTGTATAAAATAACTAGGCTATGTATTTGTATTTAATGTGAATGATGTCCCCCCTCTAGTGTATCTAACCCACGGAGTGTTGAAGAAAGCCAGAGGGAATTTAGAGGTGAGTTTACCAACAAAGCCTGCCCCAGTTATTAAATGTCAAACTAATGTTCTGGTCCTCAGTAGTACATTCTGCTTCAGTGAATCCTTCTTCTTTCCCTTCTCTACTTTAAATGATGATAGACAAATTACTGCTCCCTAATTGGGCTGAAAGGCCTGTCTGGAGGACCAGACGGAGGTCAGTGTGGTTGAGCTGCAGGCTTTGAGAGTGATGCATGAGACCCTTTTTAGTTGGTATTACCTATTGCATGAAACAAGCACCAAAATATGAATTCATAATAAGCTACTCAGATTTACTCATTTGTGTTATGTGTTCTTTTTTTGTGAGACCCTCAATCGTGGGCTGGCTCTCTTATTTACCAGTCCACGTACTTTGCGAACCTCTAGTAAATTATACGATTAAAATGTCCTTAAAAGTCAGTGTAGCATGTCAGAAAAGTCTAACAAAATAATGCCATAATATAGTATTCCTAAAAAAAGAGTCATGTCACAGTATTTTCAAAAAGGTCAGGGTAAAATAAGTCATTAAAGTACAGTACAATTCACTCATTCTTTTACAGTGTAGTATGTCTTAAAAAGTCGAAAATCGAAGAAAAAACAACATTGTATATTATGTAAAAAATATATTTAAAAAAGTCATAGTATAGTATGTCGAAAACATCAGAAAATACATTATAGTACGTCAACAAAAGTAATAGTATAATATGTTGAAAATAACAGAAAGTCACAATATGCATGTGTCTGCAAGCAGTTTAAAATATCCGTTTGTTTCGTTGATGTTGCGAGCAACACGTTTTGTTTCTACCTTGCATGTCTGTGGCTAAATATTTCAAACCACTGTTAGTGCCTGCCTGATCTCGCTCTGATTCAACTCTCCTCTGTTTCAGGAGGTCCCAGTGAATGGCCAGTAGGGGGCGCTGCAGGCCCACACTCTGAGTCCTCAGAGGAGCACAGTAGTGACGCCTCTGTACACTGCAGCTACTAAGCCTGCTCTTATGACGCAGCTTCCTGCCTTTCTGTCCTGCTGTCAAACTGGCACCTTATCTCCTCCAGCAAAGCCTTTTTGTACTTTCACATGATTGACCTATAGATTTATTTTAGGTACTGAAGTTGTAAAATGTTTTAAAAAGAGAAATCACCTTTGTAAATAGTAATTCCTGCAAGTTAAATATTTTTTTCTTTTATATGATGCATAATAGAACATGAAAGTGTATTTTATTACTGACTTATTGTTTTGACCTTTTTTCTTTCTATTGGCCAGTGTGTGTGTAGGATGGGTTGAAACGTGTGTTCAAGGAATTATGTGCAAGTAAAGAAAAGAATTGAATGAAACAGTTGTGGTACAAAAGTCCCTTTATTAGCATGTTTGTTTTGTTTTTTAAATACAAATCTTGGTAGTGGCTTCAAAATGTGTACATGGATAAACACAGATAGAAAAGTAGAGATTAAGTGAAGAGGATAAGAAAAAGAAAGTTGACAGAATAAGCTTTCCTTCTAATCGTCAAACATGAGGAGATTATATATGAAAGGTGTCACTTTTGAAGAAGCACTTGAAACATGTCTGGTCATATAGTGACCTATAAAACTAGGCCTTGGTAAGATAATGGCAGTCAGGGACTGATGTTTAGTAGCACCTCGTTAGAATACATGTTGGATTTTTCACAATCAGGCGGTAATTTTGGCAAAACGAAATGTTGAAATTATGGCTCCAATCTTTATTAAATATTACAACAACACACTCACTGCAGGTCACAAAGTTGTGCTCGTTGAACTACGGCAATAACTGTACAGAAAAAAGGTTTTGTCTACTGCTGGAGGGGAGTCTATCTCTGCACGAGTCTTACGAAGGCCTGCACCAGCTGGATGAAGGGCTCCTGGCCCTCGTGGCTGGCTTTAGAGCCTGGGGTGGGGGGCTTGTTCTGGGTGGAGGGGAGCATGCCACTGGCTGGAGACGACGGAGAGCCCCTGCGGAAATGGCGGGAAAGACTTGAAAGAAGAGTGCTCTGAAAGTGGAGAAAATAAAGAAGTAGAATATATTCAGGTTAAAGTTGGCATTTTCTGAAGAGAATCAGAAAAACATCTAAAATCTCATTTCTATTTTATTATTTCAATCAATATAGACATCTTAGAAAACTAAACTCGGATCAAAACAAACAAAGAGAAACAAAAAGAAAAAAAATGACTTTATTTGATTCTATTAATGAAATGATTTAGGTCAGGGGTTTTCAAAGTGTGGGAAGGTGAGCCTCCCCTCAGAGAACAGAAGAACAGCCGCGCTCACACAGGAGGTGAAGGGAATGAGCACTTTTACAGCCTTTTTGGCGAGGTGGGGAACTCGGTCTCCACAGACAGCCAAAAGTGTGCAAGTGAAACACGTTTTCTGCCAGACGCCGTCTCCTCTTTCACTAAAAATGGATCCATGTTGCCGCTCGCATAAAGTTAGCTGAAGTTAACTAGCTAGATTTCACTGTTCCTGGTTATTTTTTTCTCACGCTGCGCCCCCCCGGGGAGGCGCGCCTCACACTTTGAAAACCGCTGATTTAGATCAATGGCAGTGAATGTCTCACCAGTTCCGAGCTGAGCTCCTGTTTGAGCCTCTGTTTGTCCCGGGGGGGGGTGGAGGGGTCTTTGAGGCAGCGCACAGCCTGAGAGATCAGCACGTAGAAACAGTTCTCCATGGTGAACATCAGCAACGACCTGAAGACAAAAAGGTCCAATAGAAAGCAAAAGTTTAATGTTCATAAAATAGAACTTTAGAAGATTTAGATTTTTGGGGAAATAAACCTTTTTCGCATACTTTCTGAAAGCTTTCTCGAAACTGACTCCAAGCCATTTCTTTTATTACATACTATAACGTTTTTTCCCCTAATATTTCAAGCTTACTAAGAAGTTTTTGTTTTTTCTACATTCTATACAATGACTTTATGACATATTACACAATGACTTTCTATGGCATATTATACTTTGTTATCTTTTTAAAACATGTTCATCACCAAAGCTCCAGCTTCCATTTTGAATGTTGAACTTACGTACCTGCTGCTAGTAAAAAGTATTTTCCAAATAATACTTTCAAGTAGAGGAAGGTTGATTTACTCACTTCAGAGCTTGGATCTCCTCAGATGAGGCCAGGGAGGCGATGCTCTGAGAAACTGGCTCTTTCTTCTTCTCTATCTATGAAGAAAGCACAAAGTGTCAGATCTGCTGGAGCTTTCAGTGTGGCTGCAGGGGATCATGAATACAGCAAACATCTACCTCTCCCAACATGCTCAGGCCCACGTTGATGGTGGCCAGCAGGGTCCCAAACGAAGGGGCCACATCGGGGTCGAACGCTGGCGTGGTGAAGCTGAGCACGAACAGGGTCCGATACTCTGCCAGGTCCATGCTCTGACAGAACACAGGAACATGTCATTGGCTTTAACGCAGAATGTGGCACAGTTTCTTACAAAGCTAGCTATCAGGATGTAGCAACACATCAGAGCTGGTGAAAACACAAAGCTAGCTATCAGGATGTAGCAACACATCAGAGCTGGTGAAAACACAAAGCTAGCTATCAGGATGTAGCAACACATCAGAGCTGTCTGGAAGAGATACTGAGCAGGCTGACCTGGTCCAGCAGTATCTGGCAGCAGTCTGGAGTGAAGTGCTGCAGAGTGGCCAGCGTTTTGCTGAGGATCTTCAGCAGACTGCACTGCACCGCCAGCAGGGCCTTCTGCTCCGCCTCCTCTCTCTCTCCTCCACCGGCCGCCTCTTTAGACGGGGTCTGGGGGGCCCGCTGTGTCCTGGGGAGGGGACCAGGGGGCAACGCTTCGCCATTTTTGGCCTGAAACATACCAAAGCAAACATGAAGCCTTAATATAACACAGCAATTTCACTTGATTATTGGTGGAAGATAGGTTTGTTCATAGCAGCTAACAATCGCATAGTGTAAATCATTCTTCATGTCCAAGACACAGTGTTATAAGTCACGTCAGTTATCACCCAGAATACAAAGGTTAGGATGCTGCAGAGGGTTCTATCACAGCGTTTCTGACCTGGAGGTAGTGGTGGAGCATCTTCTTGCTGTGCAGCAGGTAGGTGCAGGTCTGGCACAGATAGCACAGGTTCACCTGCAGGGGGAGACAGAGAGATGCTGAATACTGAGGCTGAGCTGTATGCTCTGATGATGTGGAGGTTTCCTGTGGACTAACCTGAACGTCCCACAGCAGTTTGGGCAGATGGAACTGCCACTCCTTGCAGAAGCTGGAGAGCTGCAGCAGGAAGCCCACCGTGTGATCGGCCTCGTCCAGACAGGCCAGGCTCTGCACGGTGCGCACTGCGTTCAGACACTGGGAGGGGGGGGGGATGCTGTTATTAACAAGGAACACAACAGCAGCTAGATTTACAGCATACAACAGAACAGTTAACTTCACCTACAGAAATGCAGAGCAGCTGTTTTTTCCTATCTGTCTTCAAATGTTTATTATAGTCTGCTCCCTTGTTATAAAGTTTTCATATTGCTTAGAGAAAAATATACAATATATACAATACAATATATTTGTTGTTGTCATTGTGATTTTCAAATCAATTACCTGTTAACAAGTTAAATAAATGATCATTCATTTCAGTAAATCGGATTACATTTGGTCTTTTATAGTGGTACATTATCCTTCCAAATTGGAATTATAATTAAACTACTTTTTTGGACAATACAAGTTGTTTGATTAATTAAACTTTTAGATAGGGGATTTAGAAATGAAGGAGCCCTTTTCCACTATTCTCTTTAAGTAAGCAACAAGCCATCCAGTCCTACCTGTAGAATGCGCTCTTGATGAACTCCTACGAAGTCCAGGGCTTCGTTGATGAAGTTGTAGCGCAGCGTCTTGAGCAGACTCTCCATCAGAGACATGCAGAGGCGGGTAGACCCCCCGGCCAGCAGGCCGAGTCCTGCGACTTCCTGGAGAAACTCTGCAGAGACATATAGTGTTATTTTATTAGTTCATGTTATGTCAGTATTTTAAAGCAATGCTATAATGTCATTTGTATTACCTGTGATGCTCCGTTTGAAGAGCCCTCGTAGACGCTGAGGAGGGGGAGGCAGATGGTCTGGATGATCCCTGCTCCAGCCACAGCTGCTGCCCCCTGCAGGAGGAATGGAGCAGCGTTCACATTTGACATCTTTAACAAATATGTTTACACAGACTAATAAGTATTGATTTGAAATACTACATCATTACTTTGTTTATTGTTTTCTATTCACCTCCCAGACATAATATACAATAAGTGTTTAACACTTTTAATACTACAGTATCCTGCTGTCATGGGACACTTCTGAGGCTTTAGGATATGAAAAGGTTAGGAGGCCTTTGTAGAGAGAGAGCAGGTCACAACTATTTAGACACTAACACCAGCCTTATCCTTTTCCTCTGACAGAAGAGAGTGTGTGTGTGTGTGTGTGTGTGTGTGTGTGTGTGTGTGTGTGTGTGTGTGTGTGTGTGTGTGTGTGTGTGTGTGTGTGTGTGTGTGTACCTGAGGAGTGCGCGCCAGAGTGAGCAGCAGGTGAAGGGCCGCCTCGCTGAAGTACAGGTTGTGTTTGGATCTCAGGCTGATCTCCACAGCGCTGAGCACAGAGGGGAGGACGGGAACCTTCCTCATCACAGAGACCCAGTGCTCACCGTCTTCATCGCTGCGACACAGCTCCTTCGCTAGGTGCAGCGCTAACACACACACCTGATACAAAGAGAGGGAAAACAATGACTTTCATGTTCACACTGCTGCTGTAGTATCATCTCATAAATGATGATGATGAAGACCCAAGACAGTCATGAAAGTAGATGTTTGCAAACACTGGTATGAAGGCTAAATGAATACATTGATTGACCAAGACA